TTCACTAATCAATGTCAGAAAGAACACTAAAATTAAAGGAAACAAAATGCTGCAATCGTTTTGGTTATTTAGCATTATCCCACTATGGTCCTAAACTTTGGAATATACTTCTAAATATCATCCGTGACGAAAAAAACACAACTATTTTTAAGAAAAAACTAAAATCTTATTTAATGATGAATAGTGAACTATTCCACCAGAAAACTCTTGAATTTTAAATTAAATTCTCTTAAACATTATTATAAAAATTTTACTAATATAATAATTTGTTGCACAACTGAGCAAATTTATTGCCAACTTTATCCACTATTCTGGCAAAACACAGTAGCTGTGGGTAAACATGTATTTATTTATTTTTATGGCGGCCCATGTAGCACACCATATTCATTTTAGACAAGCTATGTATAGCTCATGCACTCATTTACTCCTGCGGAAGCCTCTCTCTCTTTTTCTCTCTCTCTCTCTATATATATGTATACATATATATATATATATATATATATATATATATATATATATATATATATATATATATATATATATATATATATATATATATATATATATATATATATATACATATATATATATATATACTCTTGCATGGTAGTTGAAAAGAGTTTCCCATAAACTGTAGTTTTAAAGAGCGCGTTAATAAACCAGACCAGAAAAAGTTTAAAAACTTAAATTTTTTTTTTCTTCAAATGATATACTGCCTGCCCAAACCAAACCCTCAGTCGATGTAGCAGCACTCCCTTGCGAGTCAGGCTATTTGTCAGTCGATGTAGCAGCACTCCGTTGCGAGTCAGGCTATAAGATAGTCGATGTAGCAACATTTACGCATGTTTTAAAAATGTTTTTTAATAAAATAAAAACAAAAACATCACTAATAAAAAAAAACTTTCTAGTCGTTATAATTGCGGTTTTTTAAAAAATTTTTAAAAAACAATAAAATTTAATGTACTTCCGCATTAATTTAATTGCTTTGACATTTCGACGACAATCAAATACAGCTTAAGAGACGAGGTAATTAAAATTGTAGTCGTAAGAGACTTTTTTTACATTAAAATGCTCTTTCGACTACACTATATGGATATATATATATATATATATATATATATATATATATATATATATATATATATATATATGTATATATATATATATATATATATATATATATATATATATATATATATATATATATATATATATATATATATATATATATCAGAAGTGGAGACTCGAGTCAACCGACTCGAACTCGAGTTCGACTTAAGTCACACCAGTGACTCGACTTGAGACTTGACTTGGGTTTTACCCTGAGACTTGCGACTTGAATTGAGACTTGCTAATTTCGGCTTAGCGACTTTAAAATTATTATTTTCCGTCTCTTCAAAAATGGAGCAATTTATCTTCTATTTTAATTCAACTGTTTTTTAACTATTTTTTATTTTCGAATGTTTTTATTTTAACTTACGTTTAACTGGTTTGTAGTCAAAGCGAGATCCGAAGAAATCGCATTTAGACTCTTTCATTTTTCAAAAAATTCCAACTTTTTTGTGTGCGTTCTGATTGGTTCATTTTTTCTTTAACTCATGAAATTTATTGTTTATAAATGCTCATTGATTTTAATTTCTTATTAAAATTTTTTTTAATTCTTTCTTTTTCTTTTCTTAACAATCTTCATTTTTCTCTTATTTATTCTTACTTTCAAAATTATCTTTTATTATTATTATTTTTTAAATGTAATTTATTTATAAAATTCATTATAAAAAAGCGTCCACCATTCCGGAAGTCTTTGCACTGCTGTTCTAATTTTAAGTATTTAAAATTGTGTTTGCTACTAATTTTGGTGATTTGTAAAGTTTCATAATTTATCTTAAAACTATGAGTGCAATAAAAATTCAAAAAATGCCTGCAGTACCTGGAATAATTAATTTTGTTTATACTGAGTTAGAGAAAAAAAAAGAAAAAACTAGATCCGCATGATGTAAATTTTGTCAAGCTTTAATTACCGATGGAGTTGCGACTACAAGCAACTTCATTCGCTATTTAAAAACACATCCAGGAAAATATGAATTATATCAAAAGTTTATTCAGACAAGAGCAATAGCTGCTACAACAGACCAATCTAAGATTTCAGACTTTCGAGCAGGTGATTTACTTATACTAATTTGTTTTTATTTTATTAGATATTTAAAATATATTAAACCCTAGAGTTCGTTCTATGTCTACCTCTAGTAGACAAGTAGTCTACTAGAGGTCTGACATTCTATAACAGTTCTTATAGTTCTTATTAGCTTGTTCAACAATACGTTGCAGTGTCACACTTCATCTTACCACTTAACCCGAAGCTTTTAAATAAAGCTTTAAACTTAGCGTGTAAAGCATGGCGTTAAGGATTATTACTTTATAGAATGAGAATGATATTGCATTTATTATTTGTAGTTGCTTTTGGAGAGAGTTCTATGACAACATACGGCCGCACCCACCCCAAGCAACGAAGAATTTTGGCAACCGTTGTGAAACATCTTGTAGTTGGTGCATCACTACCCATGTCTATAGTAGAAAGTGAACATTTTAGGCGATACAATAACGTTCTTGATCCTCAGTGCTCAACTATTAGTTGTTTTGCCGTAAAAACCTATTTAGAGAAAACGTATATGGATGCAAAGGAAAAATTAACTGAAAATTTATGTCAAGCTGCAAGCATTTCCCTAACATTTGATATTTGGTCAGATAGAAAAATGAGGGGTTACCTTGGTGTAACAGCGCATTACATACATAACTATCACTGTCACACACGACTGTTGTGTATGCGATAGGTTCTTAGGTGCTCACACTGGTGATAACATAGCAGAACATTTTGAATTCATTTGTAAAACACACAAAATTCTTGACAAAGTTGTGTATGTTGTGACGGACAATGCCTCAAACATACGCAAAGCATTTACTACAAATTTTCCAGAAGACCCCAAAGGTAGCGGTGATACATCTGCAGAGAAACTTGCAGAAGACTTGGAAAATGAAGACCTGTGGGAAGACATTATTGCACCGGACGAAATAATCCAAATTATCAATCAGCTTAACCCAAGAAGAGAGGTTACAAGACTAAGCTGTTTTGCTCACACCCTACAATTAGTTGTTGGCGATGGTCTTAAATAGGCCAAAATTTACTCCGCTCAAGCTAAAGCATCCAAAATATGCACTTTGCTTCATACTAGTACAACATTTAAAGAGGCTTTTGATAAAATGTTTGGCTCCAAACAGGGTATTCCTTGAGTAAACGCAACAAGATGGAATTCCACATTCCGTCACATAAAAAGCGTTGTCAATTTAGATGAAAAGAAATTGAAAAACCTGCTTGATGATTTAAGTCACCTCAATCTAATACTAAATGAAAGAGAATACGTGCAACTTAGAGAGCTCATTGATTTATTGCAACCATTTCTTGAAGCCACCGATATGACTCAAGGTGAAAAAAATATAACAATTTCATTAGTAGTTCCCTCTATTGTTGGGCTATATAGTCACTTAGAACAATTTAATACAACTTATCTGTCTGGTATGAAGCAGGTATTGCGAAACGGTCTTCAAAAAAGATTTTCTGGTATATTTGCAAATGTTGACCTTATCCCATCAATAGTTAAAAAACTACCATTTAATGACTTGATATATATTATTGCCACAGTTTTGGATCCCAATTTTTCTTTCATTTGGACTGAGAAGCTATGTCATGTCAATCCAGGTCAAACAGACAACTTAAAGACAAATATTATTTCAAAAGTTCGTCAATTCTGCATCAAGCAGTTTAGCCATACCAATGTAGCCACGGACGGAAAAGTCTTACCAGAAAACCTACCCTCTAAGAAGCCAAGAACTAATTCTTTTTTGTACTCTTATTGTAGATCTACACCTGTCATTCAGACTGGAACTACATCACAACCACCTGTTAAAAGTTTTGATACTCAGTTTCATTGCTATGTGGAACTGGTAAATGAAGTGTTTGCATCTAATTTCAATACCCAAGACATAGATTGTCTCCAATTTTGGAAAATGCATGGGCAAAAATTACCAATTCTCCAAAGTGCTGCCATGTATACTTTTGTGGTACCTGCAAGCAGTGCTCCTGTTGAAAGGGTATTCAGTCAAGGTGGCCTGATTATGAACCCTAAGCGTGCAAGTTTAAATTCTGACACTGTTTGTCAGTTATTGTTTTTAAAATGTAACATGGATATATTACTATAATTTTTTATGAAAATCAATATTTATAATCTTTTTTTCAAAAGAATGATAGAATAAAAACATTAGTAAATTGGCTAAATAGCTTATGAAGTGTTATGTCACTGTATTGTGTATTATGACTCCTTAGCTATTTTATTACAGGTTTATTTTACTTTTAAAGCTACTTTAGTAAATAAAGTAAAATTATAAATATTATCATGCTGTATTTTATAATTGTAAGGTGACTGTTTGAATGTAGCCATCGGAAGGTTCCCCCATGCTCCTCTTGTAAGAGGTTTTTATGACAGGTTTTGGAAGGGGCCTCTGAACTCCTAGCCGCATCACTGATAGCCACCACATGCATGGGAATCTTTTATTGTAATATGACTTGACTTGAGACTTGACTTGACATGTCACTATATGACTTGAGACTTGACTTGAGACTTGACCTCAGTGACTTGAGACTTGACTTGAGACTTGCTCCAAAGCGACTTGAAAACAGCTCTGATATATATATATATATATATATATATATATATATATATATATATATATATATATATATATATATATATATATATATATATATATATATATATATATATATATATATATATATATATATATATATTTATATATTTATATAAATAGGCATTCAGGGATCCTAACAGAAATATTTAGGGAAATAAACTAAGGTAAAAAGTTTAGGAAATTTAAAAAAGTTCTCTTTTTTTTAATATAATTTTTACATTTTGTGATTAATTTATTTATAGGACTCCAGCTTGCTATATTCTGTTGATTCTGAAATAGTCAAGAGCAATTTATTCTCATTGAATAAATATAATACAATTCAATGCCACCTTAAAAATGAGAAGAGATCTGTTGTAAACAGTTTAGTAGATCACAGTTTAACTGAATTACATCCGATTTCAAGTAAAGTTGAAACAACTGATAAGTTGGAATGTAAAATTGAATCAACTGAGAATCTGAATGTATCTAAAAAAACTCTTGTGGAAAAGAAATTACCAAAAAAAGAAGTGACTAAAGATACACCTGCTTTATTTTTTTTTGGCAATAAACAGAGTACAGGTGACGATTATAATATATTATTCAAGTTTGTAATTTTTATACATATAAAATTATAATATAATTATAATTATATTATAGTTGTATTATAATTTTTTATTATATTTTTAGCTGTTTATTATATGTTGTAGTTATTTATCATAATTAAATTTGTATATTATTTGGTATATATTATCTTTATTTTGTAATTATTCAGCAAAGAAATCAGAAACGAACATTGGAGAAATTGCTTTTAAGAAAAAAAGTGACATCAAGTCTAGTATACCAGATGAAATGACATCAAAAAAAAAAGGTGACATCAAGTCTAGTATATCAGATGCTTTCAATAAATCTGTAAAAAATTCAAAACCAGAAAAAATAGCTACAAAATCAAATGAAGAAATATGTGTTGAGCAAAATTTTTCAAAAAACGAAGAAACAAGTTTAAAAGGCGAAAAATTTATTAGGAACACAGATTCAAAAAACGAAACTAATGATTCTTTTAATAAAAATTTAAAAATTACAAAAAATAAAATTAATGATTCCTCAGAGACTATAAAAACCAAAACTGATGAACCATCAAATAAATATACAGAAAAAATGCAAAACAAAACTAATGATGAGTCAAGTAAAAACACAGAAACAATAAAAAAAAACCAAGATAAACCAATCAATAAAAGTATTGGGAATATACAAAGCAAAGCTAATGAATTATCTAGTAAAAACTCAGAAACTATTAAAATAAAACAAGAAATAATAAAAGATGAATACAATGAATCATCAAGTAATGAAAAATGTTCAATAAATTTAAAACCTGTTGAAAAGGCAAAAAAAGAATTTAAAAGTATTACAATGAATAAGGTGAAGGATGAAGAAAATGATCAAACTAAAAAGACAACTCCGAGAAAAAGGTTTTTTATATTTTTACTTAATGAATTTTTATTACAAAAATTTTTTCATTTTGTTACAAAAAATAAAGATAGAGGTTGTTTTTTTCATCTACAGAAAGTTATCACAGGAAGAAAGTGACTCTGATGATGTATGTTGTTTTATGTTTTTTTTTTTTTTGAATTTAAGAACTTGCAGTTTAAGTTTTGATATTATATATATCAACCCTCGGAATGAGGAAAAATGAGGTCGGCAATAATTTGTCGACCTCAATCTTTTAGAGGTCGGCACCAGGTCGACATAAAAGACTTAATACAAAGGTCTTACCATAAAACATTGTAATGAGGTCGGCAAAAAATTACCGATCTCAAACACTTTTAGGTCGGCAGTTAGGTTGGCTTTGCTGAATTATGACCCTAATTCCGAGGTATATATATATATATATATATATATATATATATATATATATATATATATATATATATATATATATATATATATATATATATATATATATATATATATATATATATATATATACACCTGGGAATTATGGTCAAAATTCAGCAAAGCCAACCTAACTGCCGACCTAAAAGTGTTTGAGATCGGTAATTTTTTATATATATATATATATATATATATATATATATATGTATATATATATATATTTATATATATATATATATATATATATTTATATATATATATATATTTATATATATTTATATATATATATATAGAGGCCTCGGCGGGAATAAATGAGCACGCGAGCAGAGAAAAGCTCTCCTAAAACAAAATTGGGGAGCTGTGCGAGTGCGTTGAAGATGTGATTGATGCATGAATTCAAGAACAATATCTGCTGTTGATAATGTTGCATCTTCTCTGCTAAGAAATTCCACTGCAAGTTTTGCTGGGTCTAATACAGTATGTAATGAAGCTAATGACTCAAATCTAGCTTGTTGATTACATCAATAACATTTAGTTCAGTAAAGGTCTGGAATAAACATTTCTTAGTTTTTAACAAAGGCGCAGTTATTAAAAAAAGTGAATTCCAGCAATGACGAACATCCAGATGCGGTTCCATTTCTTTACTAAATTCCTCAGTAACATTTTTCTTAAAAATTTGATTACAAACTTATGAGATTTTTATGAATTTCACTACTTTTTGTGCATTCATCAAAATTTCAGGGTAGTCAATATTAATCTCATTGTTTATTGATTCAAAACTAAAACTATCATTGTAAATTTCATGTTCATCCTATTCTGAATCACTGTAGGTTGTGTATTTATTTTTCTTGTATAATGTGTCGCATACACCAAGACAAATTGCATGATTAAAGCAAAACTGATCAGCAATGTCTGTTATTTGCATGAGCTTCTTGTTGATTGCTGTACCATCTTGAGTAGAACTTACTACATCTCTTTCCATACAGACTTCAAATGAATTCAAAAAATCCTTAATATTTTGTATTAAACTTTTAGCTGGCAGGTACTATAAATCCTAATGAGGGCAGTTTTATAGGTTGATACCATTTTATTATTAAACAAAACACCATCTGAAACTAGATCAGCTACAATTTCTTTAAGGATCATTTTTTGTAAATAACTGCCCATGGTTTTAATTTTTTTTTCCAGTGGTAGATTTGAGTTTCTGTATAATTCTCCAGTCAAAGGACTATTGTTAGTAATTCCATCATGCAAAATATGATTCCGCAAAGTAGTTGTGGATATACCAAAGCATGTTACAACAGAACCGCATCTATTACAGATGTCTTCAACATCTTTTGAATTTAAAGTTTTATGTTGGACAAAAAATTTCCAAACATGACATGATTTATCTGGAAGATTAATATATTTTCAAAAAATTAAATAATTCATAGAAGCATTATTGTGAATTATTTTTATTAAATACCTATACGTTTATATTTTGTTGAACAAAAATGTACACTTAAAATATGCTTCTGTTTTTTTAAGGAATAAAAATCTTTAATATAAAGAATAGGTCATCCTATTTAAGTATTTAAGTGCTTTATATTTAAATATATTTGTGTGTTTTAGTAGATATTTGAATGTTTGTTTTAGAATACTTGAATAATTTTGAAAATGAAAAGACTTCTTAAGCTTTCTAGAAAAATAACATCTTAATTATAAAATAAAAATTTAATTACTTACACAATTGTTTTTTTTATACGTTTCTGTAATAAATAAACATTCAAATAACATTAAACAAAAAAAACGCCAAAACTGTTTTTGAAAACCGATGGTTTTCATTTATATCAGTTTTTTCAAAAAATCGCAGTTTTCCTTTATTGGTTAAAACCGATTGGAAACCCTAAATAGTAGTATTCAGGGGTTATTCTAGATCGTTTTAGACAGCGTCGACCGTATTTGGGCGCCCCTTTAGGTGCCCAAATTTTTTTGAAAATGCTTTTTTACGTGTTTTTTTAAAGGTTTTTAAGGCAAATGTTTTTTTTTTTTTGCCAAAATAACACAGACTTTTTGCTAAAGTAAGGCAAAATGAGGAGGTACCGCCGTCCAAATTTTTTCCTAGAATAGGCCCTGGTATTGTATGCATAGTTGCCTAATAACCTAATATTTAAATAATAATAGTATAATAAATAATAAGTAAAATATTTTAAAATCGTTTATACTAGTATATTTTTATTGTCTTTTTGATGTATGCTCAATAACTTATAAATTATTTAAGCCGAGCACTTCAGCAACTTCTTATGTTTTTTGCTGGACTGCGAAACTCCGAACCTGTTTACTACATTTTTCATCTTTAAATGGCAAAATTCATGTTTGCTCATTAAACTGCCCATGGGACAGGCCACTTAAATCATCAAATCTTTCCAGATGTGCAGTTAAGCATGTACTTTCCAGGAAACTGTAAGCTGTTTATCTAAAAATTAAAAAAAATTACTATAAATATGTATATTAATAACTTGGTTTGAAATACAAAGGGTAAAGAATACAGCAATTACCTCTCTGCAATTGTCTTGTACATCTTCATAACTTTGTGTAAAACTTTCAATTCAAATTAAATAATTTTTCAAACAATTGAAGGAAACACTACACATGTTTCCTTCAATTGTTTCTCCATGGTAGTCTTTTTGAAGGCATTGAATGCTCTTGACACAATCTATAAATCCAGACCCAAGCTGCATTAAAATTTCTGCTATATGGTTAACAAATCTCATCAGAAGGTGAAGTTCTGGTAATGGAGCTTCTCTTTGTAAATAATTGCTTGTTGAGCAGGAATTGAATGGTTACAGACAAAGGAAAAAGCCAAGACTCATGAAAAAAATGAGGCATGCCAGGCATGGATGGGCTGTTGAGCATGAAAGTTGGATGCAAGAAGATTGGTCCATGGTAATCAATAATTTATCTTTCTGTTAGATTGCTTATATTATTGATTTCTTGATTTCATTCAGTTTCATCTTATTTTTTGACTAATATCATTAGGTGTAAACTTGTTGATAACTCAACATGACTGTTAATATTAAGTTTGTACAATAATTTCTTTGAAACTTATTAGGCATTTTATTTGTTCAGATAGTATTCTCAGATGAGTCAACAAATGCTATTGGATGATGGAGTCCAGACAGTCAGAAGAAAGTCTGGAGAGGAGTTTAAGCCTGAGTGTCTTAAGAAAATGTTGAAGTTACCCACTAAGATCAAGTTATGGGCCGCAATACCCATCTATGCAACAAGCCGTCTACATATTGTGGAAGGAATGATGAGAAACCAGAGAAAGTATATAAAAGTGTTGGAGAAACTGGTTAACTGATTAGCAATTAATATTTCAACAGGATTGTGTTCCTTGCCATACAGATAAGTTGTCAATGATATAAATCCGAGACATTTAATTATCTGTACTCGAGTGGCCTGGGAATTCACCAGACATGAACCCAATTGAGAATTTATGGAATATTTTGAAGGACAAAATACAAAAAGTTCCAATTATTACAAAAGCACAGCTTGTAGAGAGGTTAATCCATGTCTGGTTCCAGGGCGAAACAATCACCAAGTTATGGTGTGATTTAATCATAGATATGTCCAAGAGGGTGAAAGCATTAAAATCTGCCAAAGCTGGTCAAACCAAGTATTAAAAACTTTGATATATCTGGAATATATAATATGTAACTTTATTTTTTGTTATGATTGTTTTAGAAGTAAAAAACTTGATTATTATTTAAAAACTAAAAAACCCATAATTTTTCCAGTACTGTGTATGTTTATATATATATATATATATATATATATATATATATATATATATATATATATTTGTATATATCAAGTTTTTTACTTCTAAAACAATCATAAGACATAAGGCAATACAAAAACTTATTATTATTAAGGGTTCTATTAATTATTATTATAGCTCTATTTAGTGTACCTGTATTACTTGATGTAGTTTCAGTACAAACTCCAAATACATTATCTGCTATTTTAAATACTAGAAAATGTTTTGAATAACAGAAGCTTGATCTTTTCCTTTAGTGCAGCTATAATTCCGAATAGATCATCTTTTGTGTTAAATTCAGAACTGGTCACAGATATCGCGACCCTTTCCTTTAACTGTAATTTTTAGCTTTTCCTCTATTTCTTTTACCAACTTACTGTCAAAGTTCAATATCAAATTTTTTACCGCCGTTTCTTCATATTGGCTTGATCTGATGGTGAAATTCTTTAATTTCAACAAATTTGCTGAAAAATTATAAAGACTTTATGCGATTTAAATATATTACATTTAATATGAAAAAAAATTCAAATAAAAAAAAAAAACATTCTTTAAATCTTCTTGAAAAATTCTTTAAATAATTTTTTTCATTTTAATATAAGTATTAATTATTTTTTGTTTTAATATAAATATTTTTTTTTAATACTTTGAATTTAAAAAAAATTTATCTAAATCTTCGATTGAACTTGAATCTACTTTTAACTATTGAACTTCTAGATATATTTAAATCATTACCTCCTAAAACATTTCCCCCTAAAGCTTTAATAACAGCTCCTTGAAACATTGTTTGTGCGCGAGTTGAAAACTTTTATTAACTACAACTTATTTATATATATTATCATTATTTGCATTTTCCTTAATAAGATTTCCTTCATTTTTATAATTCTTCTTTCAACTCTTTGTTTCATATCAGTGTTATACTTTTCACTCATCGATCCTTCATATATATATGTATATGTCCTTGATGTTCTTTGATCTTGATGAACCAAATCCTTTGATCTTGATGAACCAAATCCTTTGATCTTGATGAACCAAATCCTTTGATCTTGATGAACCAAATCCTTTGTCACTGCAGCATTTAATCTTTATCTGATTTTATTTTTACTTCTGTTGTTTTGAGAAATATCAAATAAGTTTTTAAGGAATTCTTGAAACTGATTCTCATGCTTTTTTTTTTTTTTTTGTGTTCCAGGCTAAATAACTTGTATTTTGCATTCAAATGTACAACTTATTCAGTTTAATAAATTTTTGCAATTTGTACTTCAGAAATTATATAGTTTTCAAAGCCACCCTATTTGCATATATGAACAATTTTTCTAAGGCAGCATATTTCCATATTTTCATAACAGAAACTGTTTGTCATAACAAACCATATCCCTACTCTCACTCTTTGTTTTGCATGAAAAATTTTCTTGAGTAGACTTAAACCTTTTACTTTTTACTGTAATAACATACTGATAACATCGTAGAACTGTTCCATTTGTTAGATGTTGATGTTGAGGAAAAACAGAAATTGGACTTCAGAGAAGGTAAAGTGCTTGTTGTGGGCTTAAATTAAAATTATAGTTCGATTTTCTTATTTTAGTGATCTTTTTATATGCATTTGTGATAAGAAATTGTTATAAGTATTTATTTTTTAAAATTTTCAAAACTAAACTACGCAAAAGACTTTTTGTCCGGAGTAACAATTCGATTAGTTGTTTTTTTTACAAATAAAAAAAATGATTGGTTTAAATTTGTTTACGTTTTCTGAAAAGGAAAGATAAAGTTGGTATATGGTATTCAAAAATCAATAGTTTAAAATAATAGCTTTTAGTCCAAAAAATAAAACAATTAGAACCGTGATCAAGAAAAGTTTGTTTAATATACTAGTTGATCAGTTACCACCCATATCCTAATACAAAGCTAACAGTTTTTTTTTAAAAAAAAACGGATGTCTTTTAAACTATGAAAAACAGCAACTATTAGAATTGTTAACAGAATTATTTAGAAAAAACATATAAATGTAAAAAATTCCTCATTCTACTAAATTATTATTGCTCTTTTAAAAATTTGTAGAATTTAAGTTATTTGTGAGTATGTATATATATATATATATATATATATATATATATATATATATATATATATATATATATATATATATATAAAGAAAATATTTATATATTATAAAAATTTGCTTATTATTTGAAAATATTTATATATTTTATATAAATATAAAATACATAAATTTTTTTTTTTTTAAAGATTTAATTTTACATTTGTTACATTTTATAAATCTCATTTATTAAATATATAAATCTTTTAGGACTTTGAAAATTTTCTTTCAAGTAACAAAAGCTCATCAAAGTCTAAAAGGTAATTAATTGCAATTATTAAAAACTTTTTTTAATTTTTTTCTTATGTTTAATAATGGCACAGTTTTCATTTACTCATAAGTTAATATATATATGTTTGTGTTTTGTCTACAGTGTTTGCTCACCCGCAAGCTCACTATATTTATGTTTGTGCTTAAATCTTATGTTGTGCTTAAACCTCTGAGCTCATATACCAACTGACTCAAACTATAAAACCTTAATCTCTAGTATTCTGTTAAATGTATTGTTTTTCCTAATGCTTTCCAAAGTATTCCCATCAATGTTTCAAAGTGCTGTTTACATGTAACTTCTTTTAACTATTTCAGCTCAAGTCATGATCAATACAATCACCCAGTACTACCTGCCATATGCCCTCCTGTTTTGTAGGGTTCGCTCCTTATGAATTTTAAGAATTGCATTTTCCTCCTTGATAGTGGCTATGCAGTTCTTCTTGTTATCTTCTAATGAGATTACAGCTCTAAATATCAATTTAATGAGATTGTAGCTCTAAATATCAATTTAATGAGATTACAGCTCTAAATCTCAATTTAATGAGATAACAGCTCTAAATCTCAATTTAATGGTTCTATGGCCAGCTGGCAGTATAGTTTCTCAAACTATGTTGTAGCTTTCAGGCTGATTCCATCTATAGCTATAAAATATCAAAGTGTTAAAAGTGCCATGTTGCGCGTGGATGTTGTCCCTGTTAATGTTTTTGGTGTGTGTTGTAGAGGCCTCATAAGGAGCCCTAAGTTAAAACCGGTTAATTAGCAGGACAACTGCATAGTTCATTTTTTAAGATGCTGTGCTCTATCTAAGTATAAGTTAAGTTCTCTTTTAACTTAAATCATGCCTAAAGTAAGCCAAAATATTAAAAAAACCATCCCCACCACCTAACTGTTTCAATATGTCTTTCACAAAAATATTTGGAGTCTGCGAAGTAACTTTCCATCAGTTGAATCTCACAGATTCAACTGATGGAAACTACTCCACAGTTTTCACCTTGTGCAGCTGCTAATCATAATCATTTTTTTCATCTTTTTCAAAACTCTCTTGAGAACAAATGCCTATTTATTATTGCAAGAAATCAATACAAAAAGGTACTGTCTGGTGCTAAGTTTCATTATTCCCAGGCTACCAAACCTTGTATCTTATCTCAGAAGATAGGCTCTAGAGGCTTTTGGAAAATCTTCAACAACATTATTAACAAAGCTAATTCTCTAATTTTCATGGGACTGATTTTATTCCCTCTCCCAAGGCAGAACTATTTGCAAAGAACTTTCTTCTTATTTGACTCTTGAATTTAATGGTCATACTCTTTCTGCCATTCTAGTTAAACAGGTTAACCCATTGTAAGGCATTCAAATCACACCAGCTTTTATTACTAAAATCATATCTCAATTTGACTCTTCTACTTGCTTGTGTTCCAGACAATGTTCCTGTCATAGTCTTACAACAATGTTTTCTAGAACTCACTTTAATTCTCTCTAGACTATTTAATAAGTGCTTGACTAAATCTTGTTTTTCTGTTTGCTAGAAAATGGCATCTCTGGTTCCAGTTTTTAAAAATTGGAAAAAAACAACATGGAAAACATTATAAGTCTCCTTCAATTATCATCAAGGTCTTTGAGTCTCTAATTAACAAATTTTTGCAAATAATTTGCTGTCAGACAAGACGGTTTTTAATCTTTTCATTCTGTGGCTGACTTGTTAACTACTGTGACTGAAGATTTTATCATATATGTCAAGAGGTGGTGATGTCAACAGGTGGTGAGGCAAGGGTTATTACTCTTGACATCTAAAGCTTTCAATAAAATTTGGCATCTTCTTTATAAGCTTGCTTCATATGATGTACCTGATAAAGTTTTTGAAATCATCAAATCATTTCTTTCTAACTGCTTTATTAAAGTTATCCTTGAAGGCCAACACTTTTCTTTATCTCCAGTACCTCAAGGTTCTACCCTTGGTCCTGTTTTGTTTCTTATCTACATTAATGATCTTCCTGACAACCATATAAAATATAAAATGACTCTATTTGTTCTAGTTGTTGATTTAAAAAATTTGATAAGAAAATAATGTTATAATAAGAACTTTCTTCTTATTTGACTCTTGAATTTAATGGTCATACTCTTTCTAAAATTCCAGTTTGCCATGAGGTAGTGGTGTAGTGGTAAAGCGCTTGCTTCATAAGCGAGAGGTTCCAAGTTCGATTTCCACCACGTCCCTGGTAGTACCCTGCTCAACTTGTTTCTCCGTGCAGCGGCCTTGTTCGTCAAGATTACTGTTTCGGAGTTGAGTTGAGAAAGGGTTATAACCACAAGTAACAATTTATTATTATTAATTATATTTATAATAACCTTATTTATTTCTGTTATTTAATAAAAGCTGAAATTGAACTTTAATGATTAACATTCATTATTCATAGTCTAACAGTTGTAGTCTAAAGTCCGTTATTTGGACTTATCGTCATTGAACATTCGTTGTTATTCATATTATAACTCCGTTATACATAGCTTTTTAAATATTTTAAATGTTTTTAAATGTTTAAACAACTAAAGTTAAAAATAAAAAAATGTACAATAAATAAAGTCAAATTAAAAAAATGTCAAATGAAAAAATGAAATATTGGTACAATAAATGATTGCAGAAGATAAATTGTTTCTTTATTTAATATTTCTTTAATAAAATAAGTTTAGCAATTCTAAAATCTCTAGTTGGTATGCATATCTAGTGTTGCAAAAAAACGCTTTTTTTTGCTGTCGCGTTTATTGGTTTTTTTTGGCGTTTTTTTGGTTTTTTTGGCGTTTTTTTGGTTTGGGTGTAGGGTTTTTTGGATTTTTTTAAAACTCTTATGGTATATTTGTTTACTTATTTTGTGTAAACAGAGTGTTTAGCCAAAGTGGTATAAAAATATTTATCTTTTTGATTAGGAAAATGGCTAAACAGTTATTTATTTTTTAAAAAAATTTCAAGATTTTTACCTCAAAAAAATTATTTATTTTCCTTATGAAATTAATGAAAAATTTAATGAACATAAGTTGAAGAAGTTAAAAAAGTTGAAATATAATTTTGTAATTTTAAAACCAGTGACAGATCCAGGGGAAATGAGAGGTATGAACCTACCACCCCGCACCAGAATCCATAAATTTATAAAATATCTTTAAATTTTTTAAATTTTTTTTTAGTAGGAAAAATGTGATACAAAATAAACTAAATTTTTAACAAGCCCCGATTCCCCCTCACACCCACACCAAAAATTCCCAGATCTGACTTATTTTGCGGTGCAGTTTTTCAAAGTTTTTTTTTTTTTTGAATAATTGAACAATTGCTAAACTAAGACAATACTAAAAATATGGTAAATGGAAGTATTAAAACAAGTATTTAATAAATATCACCAAAAATAAATTTTAAAACCATTTCAGTGTTTAAAATGCAAAAAGAGTAGTTTTTAAGGCAAAAACGCAAAAAAAAACAAAAAACGAAGCCCTCGGTTTTTTTAACTTTTTTTGAAATTTGTTCCAATTTTTTCATTTTCAGAAGGTCCTGCAAAATTTATAAATATCGTTCTTTATAAAGTTTGCCATTTATTTTACTATTTTTTCAGGCTTCTTACTCACAAAACATCTGCAAACAATTATAATACCTCTGCCATGTTTAATAGTTGTTAATAATTTATACAATACTTTTTTATTTTTATTTTGGTTTTTTAGCTACTAAAGATTCTAAAAGATCAGCAGAGTACAGTTGTCTTTTAACTGTTGAAGTTGATTTGAGTTTGATCACACTTATGACTCTTTTAATGAGACTTTGATTGGACAAATTTCTTTTAATTTTGTTGTAATTTAGAGGGCAATGAAAATTTTGTTTTGAAGTTACTTTTATAAATTTATCTTCAGTAATTTTGCGTTTTCTTATAATAAAACCTTTTGCATAAGTACCCAGTTTTTTGGCAATTTCTTTCTCATTATACCCTCCACCCCTGAGTTTACTAGTTGCAATTTATCAATATCTGTTTCACCATTATAAAAATAAAAATTTAAAGTTTGTCTTAAAATACCACAATTGATTTTTTGGTTTTTTGGCGAATACAAAAACTATGGAATCAATTTCATCATTTATTTTGTTTATTCATTCTTTTATTTAAACATAATGATAACAATGATGTCATAAGAGAAATGTATCCTGTTCAAATCAATTTTCGTAATAAATAGTGTACTTATATCTGTATTTATTTATTTGCAATTAAATGCGTTGTACTTGTATGGTAATCAAGGTGGCTTGCAGCAGCAGTGAGAATCTTAGCCAGAAAATTTCATATGAGTAAAGTATTAGAAAGTCAAACATCAGTTTTATAGTAGTTCTCAACTGAAATTTTATCCTGAATTTTAACTGAATTTTATAAGTTTTTTCTTTAACTGAATTTTATAAGTTTTTTCTTTAACTGAATTTTATAAGTTTTAAAAAACCCAACAATTATAACAAAACATTCTTTAATAAACCGATTGTCATAGATACCACATTATTGTCATAGATACCATATTCAAATTGTTTCAACATATACATATATATATATATATATATATATATATATATATATATATATATATATATATATATATATTATATATATATATATATATATATATATATATATATATATATATATATATATATATATATATATATATATATATATATATATATATATATATATATTTAACGGTTCATTTTTGCTTTTTATCAAATCAATAAACAAAAAGAACAGATATTTAGTTTTTTTCTATTTTTTAAACTGCTTTTACAAAATATAGGGCAACGAGTGTTCATATGCCTAAAGACACATTAGCCACAAATGTGACTCTGCACTTGGGAAATAAATTTAATATAAAAGTTTTTTAAATATTTTTTTTATTTTTAAGTAATTAAAATTTTTGTTTCAGTGAAACCAAAAGTAAAAAGACGAAGAAAAATAAAATCATCAAGGATGAGGATGAAGATGTTGAAGTAGAAAGTGGGTAGAGTTATTCACAAGTTATTTGGATATTTATAGATATATAAATATATTGTAGATATATATTTAGAATAGAGTTTTAACATTCATATACTGTAATCATTTGTTTTGATTTTTCCAAAAATTATTTCCAGTTGTAACGACCACACCTGAAATATCTGAGTTAAAAGTGAAGAGAAGAAAGAAAGTCAAAAAAGAAAATGGTAATTCAAAAAAAAAAGCTTTTTAAATGAGTATAGATAGTTTAAACAAATATAAATTTTTAAAATTAATTTGTGGCTTCTTAAATACATTTTTAGGAAATTTTTAACAGCTAATTTGACACTTATATAACTATAATTTGTCAATCTATGTTAATGACTTTGGTGTTCACTTAAAATTGTGTATATCTATTCATTGAAAATTATGGACATCTGTTAACTGAAAATTGTTAATAATAAATATAAAAATCCAAAACTTGAAAGACTACAAAAAATCTAACTCCCAGAGATCCATAGCACTTTTTTTGCAAACAATAGGCTTTTGGCAGGTGTTAAAGTAGAAAAAAAAAGCAGATGGAACTCTATTGAGAAGTTTAAAGGTCTAAAAGAATGAGATTGAACACCCACATCTCCCCCAATCTGGTGTATAGCTGAACACCCATGAGCTTGAACACCCACATCTCCCTCAATCTGGTGTATACAGATTTTTCCTGTATAAGACCATTTAGTGGGTGACAACTAAAATCATGTTTATTGTCTACATTCATTTGGTTATATTGAATGTTATTAAATATATTATGCTCTAAATTGAGTGATATTTTGAAATAAATATAACATAAGCCAGAAATACTTATGTTCTATTTTGTCCTGTATATGGCTTAACAATATTGTTATCAGAAGAATATATGTTGGCTAATTCTATTTAATCATCAGCCATAACTGATAAACCCTGATCCTTTACCAAATGAAATTAAGAAGTTAAGAACACAGAAACGCAAAAGTAAAGGTATGTATATGATCACAGTAAGTACATGTTTTTGACTGATCAAATAATCCTTGAGGTCGCAAAACTTTTGTTTTGTTGAAGCATCAAGCAGAAAATTGCAAAAAAATTTTTAGCTGAGTTTCCAAAATTTTTTGGAAATTTGTATTTTATTTTGTTTATTTCTTGACTGTAAAAATGGTTCAAAGTAGGTTGATGTGTATTTTTCATCCAAAGATTTTATGCATGAATCAAAATTTCTCACTTTTTTTTTCAGCTTCTGATAAAATCAGTAGTGGTATAGTGGTAGAACACTGGCCTCATAACCAAGTAGCTCCGAATTTAATCCCCACCATGTCCCTGTGTGCATGGTATTGCGCACAACTTTTTTTTCCACGCAGCAGTCTTGTTCATTAAGGTTCATGTTTTGGAGTTGAGAGAGGTTTGTAACCACAACTAAAGTAGCTTCTTCTACTGTAGTGGCCTTCATGACCTTGGGGAAATAAAAAGAATATAAAAAAAGGTGGCTTAAATAATCAGAAGTTGCTTTATTCTTTTTGAAATATGTTGGAAAATACTGTTTTCAATGCCCAGTTCCACTTCAAAATCTTTTGAACCTATGGCATGATGAAAAAATTATATGGAAAAGGTATGAGGGATAAGATTACTTGATTTCTTTGATATTGTGTTAATTGTAGTGATGTACCGGAATTTTAATTATGTGATGAAGATTTCTTTTTAATTATGTCATAAAGATTGGTGCTTCAAATGAATCATAAAATCATGAAATGAGAATGTAAAGCTGTATAGTTTTGCAAAGCCATCATCCCAAAATAAAGATGATGTAGTGTCCTAAGCATTAAAACAAGCAAAAAAAAATATTTTTTTAATTCATTATTTGTGGTATATAATTTATATATAAATGATTGCTTTTTCACAACTAAAAATCTGTTCCACAATAGAAAAGCAATTAAGAAAGCAATCAATATGGAATCCATCTTGAAGACAACCAGAATTGCTGCACATTTTCAATGTTAAGAATATTTTATACATATTTCTACAATTTTAGTGGCTTTGCATTTCCTTACAACTAGAAGTGGTTGCTCAAAGTCTCCACCCATATAAATAACTTTTTCACCAAATAGAAATTTGTTCTTCCAAAGATTTTGTAATAGCCTGTTGTACAAATATAAATATAAACTAACTTTTCTTTTAAAATCAGCTGCATACAAAATTTGGAGGTACATTATCATTAAATGTGCAGTCTCTGGAAGAGACTCGGTGGCTCTCGCTGCAGTGTCTTTGTTGAAGTGACAACCACATCTGGTTGTCCAATTGATCTGAGTGTCCGATGTCCTTGGTATATATTTGCTATTCATGAGTTTTATTGTTTGATTGTTTAATATTAATTTTATTTTTAAAATAACAACAATTACTTTAAGGCCTCAATATGTAACTGATAAATTAATAGTATTACACTAATCAGTTTGATAGACAAAAGATGATTAATTATTCATGGTATAATAATTAGGTAAAATAAAAACGCATATATGAAAATATATATATATTTAAGCTGCTGTGGCGCAGTGATAGTGCACTTGCCTCAAAAACATAAGTTCCATGGTTCAAGCCCCACCTCTGGGCAAGTTTTGTGACATCAGTTAGGAAGGTGGCGTAAACTTCCAATTAAATGCTTGCAGTGCTCCGTGATAAGACCATAAGGACTTCTTGAGGCACATAAAAAAAAATAAAGCTTTATTTCTATAGTCGGAATACAAATTCAAGATGGCTGCTGTTTCCAAGCTACACAAAGGACTAGAACAAATTTGTATGGTGTTCAAGAAGGGTTGCTCAAAAATATAAAACTAAAAAAAATAAACACTAAGTAGTGTGATCTCTGCTAAAATGTTGTAAAGTTCAACTTGGTGCTTGTATTTAAATTATTTAAATCCTCATGTATAAATCATATTGACCCCTATTGAAAATCCTATTGAAATAGCTTAAATCGGTCCAACTTTTATTTATGGCTATGACTTTTTTTTATGGATTTTTACAGGTTTAAAAAAATTTTCCTTGTGGAGAGTGATTAGAAACGCTAATTTTTTTCTACGTGCTTCGGTACCACTCTAATGATCATACCTAAGGCATGATCCATGCGCAGGATCTGCTTTGGAAATACTATTTTGAATTTTTATCTATAAAATATATATATTGTATAAAAAATGATGTCAAAAAGAAAATCAATGTTACTATGATATAATATTATATGATACTACTATCAAATTTACTATTGTTATTTAGTTGTAGTTCTGTTACATTTTATGTTAATTATGTTATTTATGTTAATTATGTGCTATTAATTATGTTAATTATGTGCTATATTGTATAATGCAATATTATATTGATTTAACTAGAATAATTTTTATTCATAATATAAATTTTATATATTTTGTATTTTATATCATTATTTTTATGTATTTTATATCTTTTTATCTACATTATCTTTGTATCTACATGATGTTTTTTTAATACATTTTTTGAAGTTTTTATGTTTTATATTGTATGGATTTGTATTTTTTTATTCAGACGTAAACCAACAACATCTGAGTTTTAACACGACTCAAGAGCAAAATCCTAAAGATAAACCTGTTTGTAATAGTTCTTCAACTGGTAAAAGACGAGGACGTAGAAACGTTCTCAAATCAAAGCAATATTTTGGAGATGATGGTTACATGAGTAATTCTTTTTTTTTAATTTAAACAATTTTGATAATTTAATTGTTTTAGTAAATAGTAATTCAACTCTTTCTTCTAAAACATATAATTATTATACAATGTAATAAATATATTTATTATGTTATATAATAAATATAATTAATAATATAAATATATTTATTAAACATAAAATAAGTTTTGATAATTAAAGAATAATCACTGTAAATAGTTTTTACATTTAAGAAATATCTGGAGTTATAACAACAAATGAAATAAATTCAATAAAAAATAAATATAAATTTTTTTTTATTATTCAATTCTAATTTAAATTTTAAAGGAATTTTTGATATATATATATATAAATATGGACTTGAAGTTAGTAATGTTTGCTAACTGATATTGTTTGCTAACTAACTAATGTTTGCTAACTGAACTTTATGGGCGAGTTTTTACTAAAAAAAAATGAAATGCACATTAGGGTTTTTCATTCCTGACAAATTTTTGAAAATGATTATGTTAATATATGCATTATGCATAATTATGTAACTTGCATAATAAGATAACTATTAGATAAAAGATATTTAAAAAAAAGTTATTTTACTTTGTTACCAGAATAGCATTTGACCAAATTTTTTGAAAAGTCATTGTCTAGACGTTGTCCTAATAAAAATATGACAATATTTTGCTCACTCAACAAAATTGTTAATAAGCTTGATTCCAATTTTTACACAATTGTTAGTTGGATTTAAATGTATAACATACATACATACATACATACATACATGAATACATACATACATACATACATACATACATGATAAAAGAATACATACATACAATCGTAAAATGATTAAAAAAATTATTATTATTGAATAATTGCGTTAAAATTGAATAAAATTTGGTGTATAAATTACAGAAGAATTAAACCATTTTAAAAAATACATACATACAAACATACATACATACATACATACATACATACATACATACATGATAAAAGAATACATACATACAATCGTAAAATGATTAAAAAATTTATTATTATTGAATAATTGCGTTAAAATTGAATAAAATTTGGTGTATAAATTACAGAAGAATTAAATCATTTTAAAAAATAAGCTAAAAAAAAAACAAAACAAAAGTAGTAGCTAAAGTTTGTTGAACTAAAGTTTAAAATTTATCTATGTTTTATTTAAGTTTTTAAATGTGCTTAAATTTTTAAAGTGTTTTCATATATTAATAAAATAAAGTAACAACAGTTAAAAAATTAGTTTGTTTCATATTTACATTTTTTGAAAGTATTTAATTTTTGGGCTTGTTAAAATTTGGCATGTTAAATCTTAGACATATAAAGAAAATAGCCATAGGAGAAAATCTTCTCTTTTGGTTTTCAAAAGATTTTTTATTCCATTTTTTATTTCCTTTGTAATACACCACTTCTCACAGTGGTCCATGTTGTGCCAAAAGTCAAAATTAGTTTTATGCAATTTTTGTATAAAAAACTACTATTAAATGAACGTAACATAAGGGTTACATAAAAACAATAGGATTGTTATTCAAAAATGCGCCTTCACTAAATATTTTTAATTTTAAGTTTTCACCCTGCATAATATCTTATGTGGTCAAGCGCTTTTCTAAAAAGGTTTAAAAAATACTTTTTTATATGGATTGTCGTTTAATATTAGGTATTTTATTTTACTACGAATTTGTAATATAAATATAAAATGGTTTTAATATAATAATAGTTTGAATTGTAATAATATAAAGTAGTTGTAATACATATGTTGGCTATCAATTGGCATTTCTGTTTATCTTCATGAACGTATTATGCTCATATTTTTTCCGCCATTTTTGGGTAGAATTTTAATGGCTGATATTAACTGAAAAAAGTAGATTAAATAAGTTAAAAGCAGTTTTGGTTGCAGATACTTGCAGATGTAGACTATGTAACTAAAACATTACACATGATTTTATAATGTGACAATTGTCAATAAAACATTTTTTTTATATTAATATATATTATTGATTATACATAATCCCTATATAAATATGTTCATGCTCCCAATTCATGCTCCCAGTGTTGTTGATTACATGACAGTACTAATTTGGCTTTTAAGTGAAAAAGCTATATAGGCCCAGAATAAAGATTTTAAAATGTATCGTGAGCATTTTGTTCGCAAGTGTGACCATATCAAGTGTAATGAAGATTTATTTAAGCGATTATTTTGTTCTAGTGATCCAGTCATTTTTTCACTGAGAACAATAATTAGAACTAAGAAGAAAGTTTTGTTAGATGGTGTTCTGCAAATGTTAAAAAGCAGTTGTTATTTTTATGGATTTTAACAGGTTTAATTTTGGTTTATTTATTTATTAAAATTCAAATTTATGCATTAAATAAAATTCTAATTTATGCATTGTAAATTAAAATTGTCAGGATTCTATAATTTAGATTAAAAAGTTAAAAAAAAAAACTTAAAAAGTTCCCACATACATTTATTTGGAACACCTGAGCATTCAAAATCATGTTTTTAAAATAATTTGCAGTAAATAAGTCAAGAATTTATATAAAATGACTGTCACTATAAAAAACTTGTTGCTATGCATAATACAGTAACATAGCAGCAAAACTAATATCCAAATAAAAAATGTAGACCTTATATTGGTACTCTTGCCAAATTTAGTGTATATGACACACAAAAACAACTACAAGTAGGTTAATGCTATGCCAAAATAGATATCCATAGCTACCGAATAAAAAATATCACCTTTATAAGAAGCTTAGACCTTGCACTTAGTGCTCGTAGCAAATTTAGTATGTATACCACACATTATAAGTCTGCAACTCCGAAAATAATGTGGTTGCTATGCAAAAATTTTGCAAAAATGCAAAAAAAAAAAACCTTACACTGGTGCTCATGCCAAATTAAACCTATATAGCACACATAAAAATTTCTGCAAATACTAAATGTGAACATGTAATTTATCTGCTCATGCTACATGTTGTACATTATGTCAAATCATATTTTATATATTTCAAATGTTCCCATTTTAGATATTATGGTCACTATTATGTGTTTTATGTCAAGTTATCTAAGTTTTTAGAAAAATGTCTGTAAATTAGATTTTTAAAATCCTTTTAATATAAATTTTACAGACTTTTACACCAATATTTGTACAAATATTTAAACTATTATTCTTAGACTAACAGTAAGCGACCCATAAAATGGGTCAATAATGGTTGTGATGTCATAGATATGTTTCTGATGTAAAGAATTATTTAGTAGCTTATGGTATAAAAATATCTAATAGCTAGTTAATAAGCAGGGAAGGGGGGGGGGGAAATAACCTACAATATGTACCAAGTTTAGAGTTTTTAAGAAAAAAAGGTTAACTGTGAGGTATCATAAAAATGCTTTAACACCCATATTATAAAAGAATAATACCCTCTTTTTAAAAAAATATTATATAATATCTGAAAGTAAAAGTATTAAAAATACAGTAAAATTTTGTTAAAAATACAGTAGAAACTCAAATCCAGGATAAGTTGCATGTTCAGTAAGTTAGATTTCCAATGCATTGTTTAAAATTATCTGCTTTATAAAACTGCATTGTTTAAAATTTTCTTAAATTGTACCCTGTTTAGGTCAGACCATCAAATTATTAACTTTTAAGAATGCTTTGGGGTGCTTTTTTAGGATACCTTTGGTAAAAAATGCCTCATTAAGACTTTTATTTTAAAATGAATTCGAATACTTATAATTTAATAAAATAAAATTTAATTAAACACCTCCAAAGATATTAGTTTACAAAAAAAATATATGCCAGTATTTAATAAATACAATATAAATAAATATAAGTATAAAATCATAGTATATAAAGTATTATAAATGTTTTTGCCCCTTCTATCAACTCCTGCTAAATTTTTTAATTTTGCCCAGTCTCTTCCTAGGCCAGGGTGCTGTTGGGCCTGGTTTTAGAATAAACAATTCTTCTTTTTATGAATTTGTTTTTCTTTTTATGAATTGTGTAAAAGTTTCATTAAATTTCAAAATTTAAGTAATTTTAATAATAATAAAAACAGTTTCAAACAGTAATAAAAAATTGAAGTAATTGGGGTAATTTACTTCTTAATTGTTGCATTTAATGCATACCTTAAGATGCTCTCCATGCTGTAATTAGGAAAGTTTGCATCTGAAAGATGTCAGGTAACATTTTTTATTTATAATTACACTTCCCATCTTATAAAATGAGAATCTTAAATTAATCACACCCTACTTTTTCCCCCCAAATACAACTTATTGTTTGCAGCCTTTATATCATATAGGCTGCAAACAATAAGTTGATCATAAATGCTATTGATAAAGGAAAAAAAATTTCTTCCATATTATTTTGTTCTTGTATATACATATATTACAATATGTATATACACAAAGTATTAAAATAACATAGTTACCATGATAAACATAACAAAGTTTGTTATTGGCATACTAAATACAATATTGTAGTACAAAATAATAAATACAAAATCAATAGGATGAAACATGCAAAAATATGTAAAAACAGGTTTTGTAATGTTACCAGTAAACAAGATTAGTCTAGTTTAATCTAATCTAGTCTAGATGTGTTGAATTTTTTTTTCTTCTAACTGCTTGGTTAATTAATTAATAAAGTAAATTTTAAATCAGTGAAAAATAAAAGTAATAAACAATTTAATAATTATTATAAAAGTTTAAATCATTTCCACACCTAGCATGAGTCGACACTTATCGTAGGTTTTAAATACTAACATAAATTTTGCAATAAGTAGTCATTATTGTTACTTTTTTTAATATTTTGTTTATCAACAACATTGTCATGCACTTCTATTACAATGCATAGAAACCGCAATACATAGTTACTTATATGAACTCAGTGGGTTTATTAGGTCAACCTATTAAAATACTTTTTTTTTTAAGTACCAGCTGTTAGAAGCGTTTCAAATAAAACTATACTTTAAGTATGATGAATGTGGTTCTTTCAGCACCTTTCAACAAAAAGATTCTATTGGCAAGATTCCAGATGGCTGCACCTTGCTGATCACTCAACTGATACCCATCCAGATTATTGATGCAAAGTGCACCAATGTCTTTAACTATCATAACAACTTTTCAAATTCACCTTAGTCTTTCAGACCAATTCGAATTTCATGCGAAAGAGAAACAAAGGAAGCTATTTAAAAAGAGACTGATAGGATTAAAAAGAGACTGATAGGATTCAAAAAGAAGTTGTTGATCTACAGCCTTTGGTCATAAGTGTCAATCCAAGGATTGAGGTTTCATATCATGAACTCCTTACCATGATTGATGGCACAGTGCTGTAACAATTAACAATTGTTGTTAACAATTAACAATTAAAGTGTCCAGCCTCAACTTCATGGGGCATTTGTCACAAAACATTCAAAGCTATTGCAAAACCAGATGATGAATTCCTGCCAAAAGAGGGCACCCTTCAGTTAGGTACATCAATACTAGACTTTGGATTGAGATCATTTGAGGCAATTTATCACATTGGATACCGCCAAGATGTAAAAAAGTGTTTTGATTGGATACCACCAAGATGTAAAAAAGTGTTTTGATTGGATACCGCCAAGATGTAAAAAAGTGTTTTGATTGGATACCGCCAAGATGTAAAAAAGTGTTTTGATTGGATACCGCCAAGATGTAAAAAAGTGTTTTGATTGGATACCGCCAAGATGTAAAAAAGTGTTTTGATTGGATACCGCCAAGATGTAAAAAAGTGTTTTGATTGGATACCGCCAAGATGTAAAAAAGTGTTTTGATTGGATACCGCCAAGATGTAAAAAAGTGTTTTGATTGGATACCGCCAAGATGTAAAAAAGTGTTTTGATTGGATACCACCAAGATGTAAAAAAGTGTTTTGATTGGATACCGCCAAGATGTAAAAAAGTGTTTTGATTGGATACCGCCAAGATGTAAAAAAGTGTTTTGATTGGATACCGCCAAGATGTAAAAAAGTGTTTTGATTGGATACCGCCAAGATGTAAAAAAGTGTTGCAAAAAGCTCTCTGAGCAAGAAAAGTCAACTGTAGAAAGTGAGAAAAAAGTGTAAGCTGATTTTGAGGAAAAACTTGGGATCATCATTGACAAACAAAGAGATGGTGGAACTGACACAACTACAACTGGTAATGTTGGCTGGAAAGCTTTTGACAATCATAATATCACTGCACAAATATGCAAATGTGCCAGTTGAGCTTGTTGAAAATATTTCCACATTATGGGGAGCTCTTGCATCAGGACTTCCTATAGATTCACAAAAATTTGAAAACTTGTTCCAAAAAACTGAAAAGATCTACTTCAACCAAGAAAATAAAGTTGGTTGGTATCATATGCCTCCAACTCTTCATAAAATATTGAAGCATGGCAAAGACTTGATTGAGCATTGTCCATTGCCCATTGGTTTGACAAGCAAAGAAGCCTCAGAGGCTAACAATAAGTTTTTCAGAAATTTTCGCCTTCATCATTCACGAAAGTCATCATGGAAGGAAGGAATGGATGATTTATTTCACAGGCTGATGCATGTGAGTGACCCATCCATTCAAGAAACTCACACTGCTAAGCATCAGAGACCCCAACAAAGACGAGAGCTTTCTCCAAGTGTTTTAAGCCTTTTGCAATGCACTGCATATGATGCTAATAATTCATCTCAATTGTGTTGATTTTGAAAAAAAGTGAATTAATAAGTTTTAGTGGCCTTTTTTTGCCTAATTTCAGATATTAGAATTTTTTATTAAATTTTTTATTAAATTTAGTTTTATTAAATTTGCTGTGCGATTTTTTGAGTTTTTGAAAAAAATATCTTTTTTGCCAAATTTCAAATATTTAAAATAATTTACATTTTAAAGTTAAATTTTCTGTGAGAGCTTTTGAATTACGAAAAATAATATTTTGTAGTCTTTTTGCCAAAGTTCAAACATATTAAAAAATTAGATTTGTTAAATTTTTGTGAGAAATTTTAAGTTCTTAAATTTTTTTCAAATAAATTTTTATTAACTAGTTTACCATTATTTTGTTTGGTCAAATATAAATGTTTAAAAATATTAAATAATGCGTTTTTTGTGCATAACTTTATTAGTTTTAATTAATTCGCATTTTGAAACCTTTCTGACCACTGTGCATTGGTTGTAACATCCAGGGCCGACGACACGGGTTTTGAAGTGGGAGGCACAATCATCAGTTTGTGAAAAAGTCCTCTATATCAAGATTTTTCTTAAAAAAAAAAAGGTCCTTTAGAAAAAAAGTGAACACCCTCCTCCCCCCCCCTTCCTTTCTGGTGTCGTCGGCCCTGACATCTGAAACGTGGCAGCAAATTCAAAAGACAAAATTGCAAAAAAAGTCACAAATAAAGAATGAAAAATTAAGGAAGAAAAAATTAGCTGCAGATAAAAAGTCAAAAATAGAGGAAGAAAGGTTAAGAAAGAAGAAAGAAAAGAAAAAAAAAAAGAAGAAGAAGAAAGGTACAATTGGATATGGAGAAAATGTAATTAAATGAAAAAACTAAAAAAGAAAGAGAAAACATGAAAATTTTGTAAAAGAAAAAGAAAGTCGCAAAAGAAAAAGTAAGCCTTGAAACTGAGTCAGAAAACAAGTTCCATTGTTAACAATAATTATGAAGTATGACTCAAATAATTATGATGAAACTCTATCCTTCCAGTTTAAAAGATATGTACTAAAGTAAAGAAAATGCTTTAAAAATCTTTAATTTTAATTCAAAATAGTATTTTCATTACTATATAATTAATGTTTATTTAATAGTCTTTTTTTTTAATTTATATATACCTAAAAACGTTTAATAAAATGTTACTAATGCATTAAACTTTCATTTGAAACCGCCATCGCATTATAAATTAGTCACTAAAGAACATTTTAAGATAAGTGTCAACAATATATACGATAAGTGTGAAACGTTGACAATATATACGATAAGTGTGAAACACGATAAGTATGGAAAACTGCACTTTAAAAGTTTGATCAAAATAACTACATTAATGATTTAAATTTCAGAGTGAGAATAATTGGGAATAAGACGGGTGCAAAAATTCATTTCTAATAAATTTCCACTTTTTGAGTAATCTAACATATTATAATAACTTTTGTTAAACTCACGTTAAGTGTGGAAACGACCCTATATATATAAATATATATAAATTCAAAGGTTTACATTATTTTATTTGTGTTATTTACTCAACAAATTGATTTTTGAAGAAATCAATTTACAGTGAAAAATAGAAATAATAAACAATTTATAAACTTCTAAAATTCAATTTAAAAACTTCTAAAATTCAAAATCTTATTTTAGGAAGTTGTAAATATAACTATAAACAGAAAATAGACAAAAAATTATATGCAGTAGTTAAGTCAACTTTTGTAATTTAAACTGTTTTTTCCTAAATATGTATTTTTTATATTTTTTTAAATTTTACTATTTAAGTTTTTGCTAAATGTTTGAATTAATTACTTTTTTTCTTTTTTTCTTTTGATGGCTTAACTAAGTGAAGTATTGTTTTTCATAGTTACGCAAGACTATTACGAATTGGAATCGTTTAGTGAGGAAAGCGATTCTGAAACTCAACAGAAAAAAATTGCGGACGCTAATGAAAAGACAGCAGCTGATGATAAAAAAACAGAAAAACCCTCGATTATCACTAAACAAAAAACTAAGCACCAAGCTTCTTTGATGAGCTTTTTTAAAAACAAGTAACTGTTTTAAATTAGCTATTAGATAAATGTTTCTAAAATAGCATTTGACGAGGAGCTTTATGTTGAATTTTAAAGAATTTAAAATTTAAAGAAGAACGTTGGAATGTTGTTGCCGTTAAAAGAAAGTTATTTTTGAATAGATTTAAAAAATTTCTTGTGTTTTGTTTATTAAGAATATTTTATTTTAAAAAAATGTTTAGTTTTTTATTAAATTAAACTATAGAACACTATTGTCAACACCTTCATTATTGCCAGATTTAAATATCGTCCTGATGAATGTTCAAAGTCGAAAATATTTACGGACAAAGCGGCAATAACATGCGGCACGTTGCAAAACCTGTTGCAGTAGAAGCGAATTTTTGTTTGTCTCGGTTGGGGATCGCATGCTTCAGAAACTTTGGTTTCATAATAATAAACGAAAAAATAATTCAGAAAAAAACACATACATGGAATTATTTTATTATGTTTAAATACGCTTTAATTAAAAATGTTACCATCACGCATATGGATTTTAATATTATGCCTTACGTGTATTTACCTCGCTTTTCATCGTGTTTCAGGACGCAAAAGTAAGTACCAAGAATATTTAACTTAAAAACAAGTGTAAGACTTCCCATTTTGTGTTTTTTTATATATTAATGATTATGTTAAATTTTAAGTTGTCCTACTTTAAAAATGAAATGTATGATTATATGTTGGTCACATTAAACACATAAGTTATATATAAGACGACCCAACTTGTATACCATAAATATTAAATTTTTATAACCTTTACAGTTTAAACAAAAATAAATAAAAGCGTTTGATGTAATGTTCCCTAGAAATACTTTGATGAAATGGTAATATTATTATTGGTAGCGATGACCAATGATGAGATTTTTTTAGTATTAAAGCTAAAACATTTTAGCAGGAATTTTATTATGTTACTAGGTTTAACCAGATGTTGGGATATAAATCTGGTTACACGTTCCTTGGAAAAAAATCCAATTTCATATTTTGTATAAAATAACATTAAAACACCTAAAGTGTTTATAAATATATTTCTAGTGTTGTTTTTATTTTTTATTAATGTATAATTATTGCTAGGGTGTTGTTTTTATTTTTTATGTTGTTTTTATTTTTTGTTTTTGTTTTTATTTTTTATTAATGTATAATTATTGCTAGGGGCGTTAAATAAAGGTGTGTTATAAAATAAATTTTTGTAAATGTATTTTTTGGTTATAAAAAAATTAAAATCTTTAACATATTAAAAAAAAAATTTTCTGCAAAGAAATATTTATAAAATTCCCGCAAAATTGTTTCAACTTAAGTATTAAAACAAGCTAATGCATAAAATTGGTCTTGAATGAAAAATAATGTTAAATTACATCGAAAACCACGAGGTTAACAGGAAGACCGTTTGTTTCATGGGAATCCGTAGGAGTAGGTGTTTATTAACTAGCTTCGTGATTGGAATAGTTGAATAATTTCTTAAGCAATCAATTGACTTTAATGATCCAAGAGTTCCAACTGGCATTTAAGTTTCCGTTCCTTAGGAGACTAAAATCTGGGAAAGTTTTAAGATCAGCCGAAATTTTCTGACTTATCAAATATCAAAATTCGTCCCGTTAGTCAATCCGTTGGTGACTACTTAATATTCTCGGTCTTATGGTAGCTAAAACGATTGCAGCCTCAGTCATTGCCAACAAGGAAGCAGAAACTCATGTAAATGTTTAAGTAGGCCGGAATGATTAGGGGACAAACCAACTCTGGTTCTTCTAGGTAACATTTTATTTTGTGTAGAAATAAGTCTTAATTCTTATTAAAGTTTGATTCAATTTTTTTTTATATATCATTCGATTCAAAATTTATCATTCTTGCAAAAAATATATAATTATATATACAAATAATATAATTAGCAAGAAGTAATTACATATATTACCTTAAATAAAATAATTATTTTAAATAAATTAAATACCTAAATTAAAGTTAAACTTTTTGATGAGTTTAATTTCTTTTTTCAATTATTACTATTTTTAATAATTTTGTCTTTGTTGTTAAAACTTGTTGTTAAACATAAGTAATAAATAATATTAGGTTTTAAACAAAATTGAAACAATGTTTTAAATTTTTTAATTTAGGTTTTAAACAAAATTGAAATGTTTTAAATTTTTTCAGATTTTTTTTACTTTTGATTTTTATGAAATTTAATTTAGATATAATTTATTTATAGATTTCTTTTAAAATTTTAAGTTTCGTAAAACATATATAAAAATACATATATAATTATGTATAAACCATTACAATTTCTTCTATTCAAAAAATTTTTTTCCTATAGGAACTGCCTTTGTTTGTTTCCTGGCTCTTAATGACTGGTGCTCCCAGAAGTCTTTACGTTCTTATAACAGAGCACCGCGGAGGAGCGTTTAACTAGGAATATTATGCCTCCTTCTTTGCCAATGTTGCTTATTGGACTAGGGCCGACGTCGAACTTGAGACCTCTGGGTTCTAAGCCAGAACTCTAACCACTTCACTGCTGCAACTTTAATTCGCTAACCCAGCATATCAAATAGTCACAAACGAAATTTCTTGTAACAAAGCGAACTTCGTTATTTGAAAAGTAAAAGAATTTTAGCTGAGCTTAAAACTTTCTCTTTTTGAAGTCTACTACGGAACAGCTACAATCACAAATCCAAATTAAAACTCTTGGATCATTTAAGTTTTTTTGCTTGAAAAAACCAAACCAAAACCTTATATTTCAAATTAAAGTGGTTTGCATTAAACCACTTTTATTTTACGTTCAGCAGCAGACGTTTTATGGTTGAAAACTGGCTGATAATCAATGAAGGAAGCTTTTGATGTCTTGGAAGGATCGGCAAAACCCTATTCTTTCCTTACAGCTCTCCTATTTCCAACTTTTTTAACAAGCAATCTTTTTCTTTTTCCAATGGCAAAAGTCACAAGAGAGCAAGTGTTATAAAGACAGGCTGCAAAGGTACATTACAGAATTCAACAGCGAAAAAATAAATATTTAAATTAATTAAAGTATTTAAATAAAGATAACATTAATAGATAAATTAAAAAAAATAAGTTGATTAAAATTAAGTCAGAATTGATAAAAATATACCATTGAGTTTACTTCATAAGCTTTAATGTTGTAGATTTAAAATATAAACTTAGTTACATTCATATTGTTTGATTACTTATACAAAGTTCTAAATTGAATTTTCTACTGCACACACTGTCACCAGATTTCATAAGTTATATCCCAGCGACTACTAATAATTGTAGTACCACCCCACCAAAGATTTCCTGGGGTCATGCCGACGAGCGCTTTTTCTTTTTTTTTATCAACTGTGCAAAAACGAGAAATCTAATGACCAGACCAGTGTTTGTTGCTCTTCTGGATACAAAATTTTAAGTTTAGTTATTATTTTACTAAAATAGATTTTCTTATCTGAACAATGTAACTAGGCTTTAGGATTTATATCCCAGTGGCTACCAATAGCTGTACTATCATCCTACTAAAGTATTTTCTGATGTCACGATTTCTAGCGTTTTTTTTATAACTGTGACACGTATGTTGTGTAGTAATATATATATATATATATATATATATATATATATATATATATATATATATATATATATATATATATATATATATATATATATATATATATGTATTATAAAATGCATTTTCCATGTTTTAAACATTATAATATAAAAAAATGGAAATACTCATGGTGACCGTTCCTAAAGATTTTTTATTTTAAAGTATTCTAAATTATTTTGATAATCTTTATACAAAATGCACTACGAAAATAAATAACAGCGTTTTTAGTTTTACTAGACATTTATTTTTGGCTATTTATTTTATATACTTTATTTGGTATCAATTGATTACTTTGTTTTGATCACGCAAATGTTTTTCTTATGTTTAAAAAGCACTCTTTTTTTTTTATTTGTATTTGTTGTTTTTAAGAAAAGTTGAAATATATATATATATATATATATATATATATATATATATATATATATATATATATATATATATATATATATATATATATATATATATATATATATATATATATATATATATTTTATATGTTATAGCGACCAAAAAAACGACGGCTATTGATAAATTGATTCAGGAATACAAAAGTTACAAAAGATTTAAAATAAATCATGGTTTCTCTAAATCTGTTAAAAGAACAACGATCATTGATGAAAAGGACAATAATATTGGAACTCAAACTTCACCCGATACCAAAATCACAAGCGTTTCGGGTTACGTAAAGTCTCGTGTCCAACCTAAACAAACTCGTTTGCGTCCTAAACAAAAAGCAGCACATGAAACCTATGAAGAGCGCCACAAAAGTGTTGTCGATAGTATAACGTTTGTTGCACCACAACCAAAAAAAAATTTAAAATTAATTATGTCGAATCCTCATCCTGACGAGAATTTGTTGCTAAAACTTCTTCCGCTTAACGCAAAGAATTTTCCAGGTCGTGTTTTAACAGAGGATAGCTCCAACGAATATCATTCAAGTAATAAAACAGAATCGTCTCAAACAGACTCAAGAATAGAAGAATCAAAAAACGTCATGAAAATAAAGACTAAACCCAAATCCTTAGATGAAAGCCATAAGACATTATCTAAAAACAAAAAAGTTTATCCGAAGCCACGTACTAACAACTTAACTTTTTTGAACATAAGTGATTCAAAAAAACCTCATCAAAGATTTTTTAAATTTAATGAAGAATCAATTGAAGCAACTAAAGAGAGCGAAAATATTAAAGAAGATAAAGACCATGAAGCTCATAAACGTAAAAATACCGAGTATTTTGAGGAAGATAATTACCTAGAAAATCATGAGAGAGATAAAAACAGCGAGTTTTACGAAAAAGATACAAAAAAAGACAGTAAATTTCGTGAAAAAAATGTTAACTCTGAACTTTACGAGAAAGATAAAGAAAGAAAAGTGCATGAAAAAGATAAAAACAGTGAACTTCGTGAAAAAGATATAAATTCTGAACTTTACGAGAGAGATAAAGATAGTGTATTGCATGAAAGAGATAAAAACATTTTGTATGAAAAAGATAAAAACAGTGAATTTCTTGAAAAAGATATAAAGCCTGAATTTTATGAGAGAGATAAAGATAGCAAAATGAATGAAAGAGGTAAAAACAGTGATATTCGTGAAAAAGATATAAAGCCTGAATTTTATGAGAGAGATAAAGATAGCAAAATGAATGAAAGAGATAAAAACAGTGATATTCGTGAAAAAGATATAAATCCTGAATTTCACGAGAGAGATAAAGATAACAAATTGCATGAAGTAGTTAAAAACAGTGAAAACAAAGAGAAAAATAAATTCAGTGAAATTCTTGAAAAGAACCAGGAACATCACAAAGAAAACAATGATTTAACAGCAGAAAGCAAAACGGCTCTAAAATATCCCCAAAATAGACACGCAAAAAATGCTGAAAATCGAACATCACTAAAAAATCAACTTCAAATAAATAATCTTCATAATTTTAATGGAATAGCAAAAAACGCAGAAAAAAATACACAGTTTAATCAAGAAAAGTTTGATATAGAACTTAAGAAACATGGGAACAGCACTTTTGAGAAATTAAACAAAAAGCAACATAATTTAAAGCAAAAATTCACATCAGTGGGTCAATTCAAATCAGATTTAGGATTAAAATTAAAGGAGTACATTGTACATGACAGCTTTAAAACAGAGGAAGACCAAGTTTTAAAACACCCTGAACGCTCTGAATACTTTAACCAAAGCACAGTTTTTCACAGTTCTAAAAATCACCCAAACTTACACACAAATCTTTCATCGACGGTAAAAAATATTTTTTCTATTTCGTTAGCAAATACTTCAGTAATAAAAGCAGCTAACAAACAGCATAAAGACAATAACTTATACATAAACTCTAAAATAGAATCAATTAAAAAATCTCCACGTAAAAAATGGAAGACTATAAGAAAACCATTAGTTCAAAATATACACATAAAATCGTTTGAAAAATCTCAAAACAATTTTCACAAAAAACATTATCACAGAAATAAACGCCCTGTAATTTTAGTTGCTAAAATAGCTGACGATCTCGACCGCAATACTTTTGTTGAAGATATTTTTCGAGCTTTAGGAATAAGTGATATTTTAAAAGTTGATGTTTCTAGAGACCAAGATGAAGAATTGCACTACGGTGATGACGAACTCTCTGGAGATTCACAAAGTGTAAAAATAAACCATTTTGAAAGTTATCCGGAAAATAATAACATAAAAACCCGGGAAAACAATTCTCTTAAAAGTAAGAGTTTACATTTCCCTAAAACGTCTGTAAAACAGACAAAATTTTTATCATCGCATGCTTTAAAGTCAGTTCGGTTACACGATGCGGTCGGACATATAGTGAACGATTAAAACAAACCTAGAAAACGATTAAAAATGAACCTAGGTACTTTTTGTAATTAAGAAACCAACAAAAATTTTTTATAACTTAATTATTGTCTATAGTATGTATTATTATATTATTTATCTTTAAGTCTATTTTATACTGAATAAAATTATTTTAACAATTTTCAATAAAATGTATCCATGAAAACAAGTACTTAACAAATTATTACTAATCACTTATGAAAATATAAAATAAACTTTTATTTTTTTATTTTGTGACGTTGATAAAGATAATTGAAAAGTTCTTTGAACTAGGTATGAAAGTATTAAAATGTTGTAACAAAAAAAAATGTTGTACAAATTGTTTAATTACTGTACAAATACAGAAATCAGTATACGTTGTCACTCATTATACATACGTTATCACTCAATATGCATACGTTATCACTCATTATACATACGTTATCACACGCTATCACGCGTTACGCATACGCAATCACTAATTATACAAATACAATTACTCGTTATACATAGACAGTCACTCGTTATACATATCGCAAATAATTCACATCACAAATATTCCTCATAACAGTTAGAAACTATTTTTGTATTTATATTTAAAAATGCATTCGAGCGAGACAGTTAGGAACTGGAGACTTTCAACCCATCAAACTTTATGAAAAAGGTTTTCTTGTTTATATGTACCTTTCATAGATATTCAACATTAATAAATTCAAATACTCTATCTGATAAAAATAGTGAAAAGAATATTTTCACTAAAAATAGTGACTAGAATGTTTTTTGTCATGACTCTGTAAGTATGATTGCAATTGGCGTTTAACAAAAAAGTAGAAAAACGAGAATAATTTAAATTATGTCGCTAAAACTTTAATTAATTAGTTAATTATTTTTGTCCAATAAGGTATATAAAATAAGAAAAAGAGATCGTTGTTCAATTCCCTCAGGTTTTTGTAGGTTCTTTAGTCAGACTTCTATTCTAACGTTGTCCTTCAGATGTGTTTTTTTATGTATTTGTGTTTGGTTTCATACTTTTTTTACACTAAGTTATACATGTATTTTTTTATGTTTAATGACATTATAATAAAACAAATTATTTATTAGTTTAATACATGTCTTTAAACGTTATACCAATATTTAACTTCTAAACGAGTAATTTCGTCTTCACGTCACTTTGGACGTTACGTTAATTTAGATGCTACATTAAAACTCAAAAGTCGAAATGTTTGCAGAGTTCTTTTATTAAACCAAGTAGAACTGGTGAAATGATGATTGTTATTATAAAATACTTTTTATTTGGTTTTATGTTTTCTAAAGTGCAACACATTTGGAAAAGTTAACTTAATTCTTTTAATTATAATATATTATCGTTTTGAAACCAAAATAGCATTGCACAATTTGTCTTGAATCGATTTCCTGTGCTTTCCCAGCTCCCTCATTTCATTTACTTTTATTTAATGTTAATCTTATTTTAATTTTTAATTCAAATCAAATATATATATATATATATATATATATATATATATATATATATATATATATATATATATATATATATATATATATATATATAAAGAGGAAGGCCAGTGCCCCTTAAGCCAACTCCTCCCCCCAGTGTTGTAGGCCATGAGATTTTCAATTTTGAATCTTTTTAATATGTATCTACTGACTGTACTTTATTGATATAAAGCATGAAAAATATCTTAAAACCTGCGTCACATAATTTATCGTTTTGAAAACATAAAAAATGTTATCAAAATTGTATTAAAAGCCTAACTTCATTTTTTCTAATTAAATCTGTCACGTGACAAATCTCTTAGAAAAAAAAAATCTTAGGATTTAGTTTCATTAAACCCTTTCTTGGTGTTTAATCATGTTGATTAATTAATTAACCATGTTGATTATAATAATTACATAATTATAATAATTACATAGTTATAAGAATACGATAGTAACATTTAATAAGAAAGCACAAAAAATTACTCTATTACTTTTAATTTTACGCTGAATTTAATGGAAAATTATAAGATTAACCGTTGCTGCGCAACAGAGAACAAATCTAGGAAATTAATAATTTATTTTTATTTGCAAGTCATCCCACAAATCATCCTTTTAATTTTGTTACTGTGAAACCTATACCACAGGATTAAAATGCTCGATAGAAATTTGTCTAAAACAACTTTTTTTCCAAAATAAATTTACTGCCACGCAATGTGATACGGTTTATCTTTTATGTTTAAAGTTTTATGCATAAAAATAGTTTATTATAATATTTTATAATAGAAAATTTCATCAAGGATTAAATGTTCAGTAATTTACAATAAACGTTTGTTTTTTACTGTCTTCGCAAGCAAACAAAAAGTCTATTTTCTTGATGCGACAATATTATTTAAAAAAAAGTTTGTGAATTTTTTTAAAAACTTTAAAAATACGTATTAACATAATTTGACCTTTGGTACTTACCAACTGAGCTAGAGGTTTGAGTTTTAACTTTCAATTTAATTTGTCAAATATTTTAACGATAAAAGATGAAATACATGCAGTTCCTAGTTATTTTTAATTATTTTAATAAATTATTTTTTTACTAACTTTTGTGTTAAGTTTTGTTTAACATGAAATTTATAAAAATAAAAAATCTACTGTTGTGATTTTTCAAGTTTCGGTTAAGATGAAGAATTTTTTTTAAAAAAGGTTTAATCCGATAAAAAAAGGTTTTAAAAAAGGTAAATTAAATTACTATTTTCTTTATAACTTTTAGTTAGAGTTACAAAAGTATACTACATGCTTCGTGGAATGATATATGAATAATACTTTACCGAAAGGGAGCTAAGTCCATTATTTGCAAAATTCAGTTTTTTTGTAACATTCGTTGTTCTTTATTGAAAAAGGTACAAGTCTAACTTGTTAGTATGAATAAAAAAACTGTTCCTCATCTTTACTTACTTTTACAAAATTATTGATATTCAAAAAACACGTCGCCAGATAATTTTTTTTTTAGTTTTTTCTCAAAAGCATTAAAGTGTTACATAGCACCTTTTAGAAAAATGTACTTTATATTAGCATATACAAAATGAAGTGGGTGAGACGGTGCAAGATAGCAAACGTTTTAAAAAGAGTTTTTGCAAAGCAGTCAGCAATGAAGCAATAATAATTTGTCTGTATGTTTATTTTACCTAGAGATGTGCCGGAACCATTATTATGATTATGCCGAGTCCCTGATTCCGGGTACTCGTCAGAAAATACCGGGTCCGAGTACCCGGCACCGGGTCCATATTAAAAAGTTGAACTATAAGCTTGTAAAATCTCTAGTGGTAAAACGTTTTTACAAAATAACGCTGGTTTTTTGCGCTAATTAAGTTTGTCTAAATATATTTTAAGTTTCTTTTTAACGAACAACTATTATTTACACTCGAGGTCACAAATTTAAATTACGCAAACTAAAGTGTAAGCTCAATGACCGTAAATATTCTTTCTCCCTCAGGTTTGTTAACATTTTGGATAACTTAGCGTCTGACCTCGTTAACGCCAAAAAACATCAAGAGCTTTGAAATTAAAATTAAGTCAGCCAACTTTGAAAAATTCTCTTGTGAAAAAATTCTCTCACACAATAAAAAAAAGCTATTCAAATATGCTTATAAATATTCCTTTAATAATATTTCCTTTTTGCAATATATTCTGATTGTTTTGCAAAAATATATTTAAAAATATTTTAAGTGAAACACATCTATATTAAGTAAATATAGCTTTGTGGTTATTGACTCTTTAAAACTCTAAGACTTGTAACAAGAAGCGTATTAGTTGAACTTTAAACTAAAAGCGCATATGTTAACAATATTTCGACCCAATTTAAAGTACCACTTAAACAAATATTTATAGCACTTAAGGTTACTTTTTATTAAAATTTTTTTTATGATACCAGGTGCCGGGCACTGCAACAAAATTGCCAATTCCGGGTACCCTATAAAACAGCCGAATTACCGGGTCTCCAGATGAGATACTAAGCAAAGCATCAAAAGTTTTACATTTACTCAAAAGAGTTAATTACTTTTCGAGGTTAACTTCATATTTAATTTTCGAGTTTAATTTTCAACAAAAATATTTTTAAATAAGATTTTGTTTTTTTAATTTAAAATTTTATTTAAATAATGTTACCGAGAAAAGAGAAATATAATGAAACAAATATTATTCTCCTGTAGAAAACAAATTTAACTTTTTTTTGTTCAGCAGAATAATATTTGTATAATTATTTTTTTAAATTAATATTTTGCAGTTAAAAGATTTTTCAATGACTTCACAAACATCTGCTATTTCAATATGTTTCTTTTGTATCTTTTCCAGTGATCTTTAATATCGAATGTGTTGTCTGTACTCTGTGAATAATTTAAGAAAGTGCTATGGCATTCAAAGAATTCAGAAACATGGTAAAAAACAGCGTGTGCTTAGGATTCACATTAACATTCAAAAGAGATTGGAAAAGTGGTTGCTTAAGTTATTAAATGTTTCCAATAATTTAAGCAACCTCTTTTCCAATTCATATGAAATTCACCGTATATATATATATTTTGTAGGTATCTGGTAGTCTCTTGCTTCTCGTCACTATAGGAACATTTTGAAAAGAAAACAAACTACCCTCTGAATGGTATCAAGCGGTCTCTTTTATGTAGAAGTTATCAGTTTGCTCTTACGAATTCTTGCTATGAACATGACAAGAATTTGTAAGAGCAAACATGAACATTGCTGTGTTCTCCGTCCCAATGTCATGTACTTTAAAAACGGTAACTTAAAAGAGCATAAAGAATTTAGAGAATTTCTTTCTTTTTGCAACTGTTTTTTGTTTAAAATATAAAATTGTTAAACCCTGTTGACTTGTTCAAAATACTAGATTCAAACTTTCTCATTTTGATGTTAGTAAGGTTCGTATTGAATTGAACATTGACGATGTATTGGGTTTTAAAAGTTCTATTTAAATACTTTGGACATTTTAACAAAAATCAGGAGTTACTGGACACTGCTTTTCACTAGTGGCTTGGCTGAACCTTATGGTTCAATAAAGTGTTTATTCCAATTATACTTTTTTTAAGCAGTGCAGAATTGCCAAATATAAATGAAGTTAACGTGGCAAGATCATAAACCACTGTCTTCTGGTTGCTTCAGCCATTTCTTTTACAATATATCTTATCAATCAACTCTTTGTAATTTTCCATTGTAACAAACTAGACATTATGACTATTTTCTCACCATTATGGGTTGTTAATACCAATCTTTAGGATGTAATAAAAATGGGAAACATTTTAAGGACTTCTAGCAGAAGCATTTAAAAGAAATAAAATATGAATAAAAATAAACAAACTTTATATATATTTATATTTATAAAACCATTATATTTAATTTAAATGAAAGAATTAAAGAAAAAATGTTTTTTTAATATAATAACTGTAATGATCATTAAATTATATTGTCTTACTTGGTTACTACTTGCTTCGCAAAAAAGTTCGCATTTTACTGGTTTGCAGTTCACGACTCCCAGTTCGCATTTTATCAATTAAATTAGAAACTTTACAAAATTGTTTTTTAACTATTACCGCGGAGCAACAATTTTTAGATGGGACAACCCATTTTAGGGGCCCAGAGATAGGGAGAGGCCTAAACATAGCAGGGGAAAAGCCCTAAAAAATATATATTTTTCCCTAATAATTATAGTTTTATAATTTTTTTGGGGGGCCTAGGCCCCTGACCCCCCTCCCCCCGTGGTTACGACTCTGATATATATATATTTACATGTATATATACATGTATATATATATATATATATATATATATATATATATATATATATATATCTATATATCTATATATATATATATATATATATATATATATATATATATATATATATATATATATATATATATATATATATATATCTATATATATATATATATATATATATATATATATATATATATATATATATATATATGTATATATATATATATATATATATATATATATATATATATATATATATATATATATATATATATATATATATATATATATATATACACACGTATATATGTATGTATATTAAATTACAAAACAAGCAGTCGTTGGGCAGTGGTTAGAAATCTGCCTCAGAACAAAGAGATTTGAGATTCGATTCCGGCTATGGCCAAATAAGCGACATCAGAAAGAAATAAGGCATGAAAATGTTTAAATTGGAAAGAAAGGAGGAGAAAGAAAAATAGGAAGAAAAAGAAATTGGAAAGAAAGGAGGAGACATTGGAAAGAAAGGAGGCATGAAATTGGTTAAATGCTAATCCGCGATACTCTATAAAAAGAACGTTAGGTCTTCTTGGAGCACCTAAATAACTAAAAAAAAATATTAAAATTTTTTTTTCAGTATATCTGAATTTAAAGTAATCTGAATGAATTATTATCAGGAATCTCGTGTAATAAAAAAGAATTAAATTATAGAAGTGCTCATAAAATTAGTTCTAAAGTAAATAAAACTTTTATTTACATTAGATAAATATTACGATTTATACAACAATAGATTTTGTAACAATCACAAAAAATACTTCAAGTAGTTAGAACTCGCATTACATAATTTAATATGCGTTGCATAATTTATATTACATAATTTAATATGCGTTGCATAATTTATATTACATAATTTAATATGCGTAATCCAATATGTGTTGGCAGAAATTTTAAAATTTTTCTTATAGTATTTTATGTAAATTAATTACTAAATAAGCCAGTTTATGACATATTTTTTTTTAATCTTTTTTAGTTAATAAATAATAATTTACTTTCTTTTATAAACGTTCATTAAACGTTCTATTTTGTTATTTATAGTAAAAGTTAAAATGAAAATAAGCAAAGAATTTCCTTATCTTTTTAAAATTAAAAGGAGTTTTTAAAAGCTCCTTAAACGTTATTTATTGATTTTTACCTGATTACCTTTCACACCTTTATCACATAAATTATATGTTATATTAACATGATAGGGTCCGGTATATATTCAAAACTCACTGAATATACATTATCTTTGTAACATAGATGAAGGCTTAAAAAACACAAGCTCTTGTGGAAAAGATTTTTTTTGCGTAAGAAGGTGATTGCTACCTAGTTAACGCAGTTATCCAAAGTATGAATCCGATTAGAATTTTTGTCTTATTTACGTCTTTTCAGGCGTATAGGAAATCTATAGTAGCTTATACATTTTTTGAGTTTCCGATTAATAAATAGAGATTAAACTTTAACATGATTTAAAACTCATCATTAACAAAAGTTTATAATAATTTTTATATGAATAGAAACCTGATATCTGAAAAGACGACACGATTGTGAAGGGGCACAATCATCATTTTTTTAAAAAACTCTTCTGTATCTAAAAGTTTCTTTAAAAAAAAGTACTTTAGAAAAAAAGTGGAGAGGCTAGTGCCTATTGGCTCCTGTCCCCCTTTTGGTGTCGTTTGCTTTGTGCGAATGCAAAAAACTTTAAAGTCCTTTTTTTTTTTTTTTAACAGACAACATTTCTGCAAAACGATTCGGACGATTGATCCCCCTTTCTTTTTAAAATCGTTCTTTTAAGCGAGTTTTTAAATCCGATATTACACATTCAAAATACATTCTTGTGTGCTATAGTACACAAAAATGTACGAAGAGAAAATACAAATATAGTATGTAGAGAAAATACAAATATAGTATGTAGAGAAAATGCAAAGATCTAAATAAATTTAAATCTTTGTATTTTCTCTTTGTCTAAAAACATACAGGAACCTTTATCAGCCACCATTTGTAAAAATTTATAAACAAAATATAAAAAATTGAAAAAAACATGTAAAAAATAAAACATCGTATTTGAAAGTATTCCTTTGATCTTAAAGAATCTTATGATTTGAGGATTTGCGTTTATAACAATGTATACAATACGTTTACAATACGTATCTACAAGCAGTTGATGATATACTTATCTAAGAGCAGTCGAATATATACATAAGTAAGAGCCTTCAATTATAAACATATCTAAGAGCAATTAAATATACCTAGCAGGCATTTGATCAATAAAATCCATCTTTTAAACGTTTACAAAAATATTCTTTTCAGACAAATTGCTCGTCGGGTAATTAAGTAATTAAGTAATTAAGAGCGGCCTAATATATACGAATCTAATTTAAAGAAGTTGTTCATACGTATATCACACATCTTTTGGTTCAAAAAGAAAACCGTTTTTATGGTTGTTTTGTTTGAGTAAATGCAACTTATACCTGTTTATTCAGTTTTTTTAAACCAATTTTTATCAAGTTATTTATGATTTATTTCAGATATTTTATTACCAATTATTTAATTCGTTACCATTGTTACAATTTTGTTCAAGTTAAAACAAAATCTGAAGCTTACTAAACAGAACTTTTATTAGTTCTACGATCAGTCACGCAGTATTAATTTTTTTAAAAAAAAATTCAGTGAAACTAATTCAATTACTTTTTTAAAAGTCGTAAATTTAAATTTACATTAAAGTCGACTTTAACTCAGAATTTAATTGTTGTTAAAGAAAAATTACCTAATAACGCAAATTATTATAATATTAATTAAAAATACTATAAAAGAATTTTTTTTTTTTTTCAAAAATCAAGTTTTTACTTAGTTTTTTAAAATTTAAAAAAATTTGAAAAAATAACAGCTTTGTACTGCGGGCCGTCCCGAACAAATAACAGCTTTGTACAATAGGCCGTGTTGAACAACCCTTCCCCCCTACCTTTATGAGAAATCTGTTCGGGAGGCCTCACGGCAAAGTTAAAATTATGCTAATGTCTTGTTCTCCACTTTTAAAATTTTTATAATAAAAAATTTTAAAATTTATATTTGAGGAGACAGTCTGTAAAAAGATTACGGCTTTGCAGCTATTTTTTATATAACTTAAGTTCCATTGCAATAAATAAAAATTATCGTAAAATATATTTATAAAACTATTTATCAAAAAGTGGTAAAATAAAAGATAATTCTAACGTCGCAACCTGGTAATGATGTGCTACCCTCAATACAAACACAGCAACAACTTTTTTATTTAGATTCACTCAAAAAAGATTTTTTATTTTTATATATAAATACTATTATTTCTATTAAAGTTTTTTCAGTTTTTTAATAAACAGGATATTATTTGAAATTTGTTTTTATTTTTCTGCTATAGTATCTTATCTGATATACCGGTGGTGCGCACTGTTCGGAAAGATTAGGCGTACTCAATGTGTGTGTACTTTGTATTGATGTATAATATTTCCTGTTATTCTGATCAAATTTACTGAGCATTTTTTAACATATTTTCGGTAATTAGGGTTTGGTTTTAAACTACAAAACGAACGAAATATAGACGAATATCGACAATAACGAATCGTTATTGTCGATGTGGTTATTATCAATGATCGCTCATTGACAAGTTGGCATCTTTTTTTTTTTCCTTTTTTTTGATTATGTGTTTTGATAATTTACAGGTGTGTAAACCATGTTTTTTTTTGTTTTGCGTATACTTTAAAAATAAAATAAAAAAATGAAATAACCTGCTGCTTTTCTTTTAATGATAGAGTTTAGAGTAAAAACTAATAATATGACGTCATTACTATCGTTGTTTGCAAAGTTAACGCGCCAAGAAATGAAGCAAGATTCTGGATGGTGCTGGTTGGTATTTTTTTGCGTTTGTGTAAACATGTTTCTGGTGTTTGGTGTACATTACACTTATGGGGTCTTGTTTCCTAGTATTTTAAAAGAATTTAACCAAGGGCAAGGTAAAACAGGTAAAACTTAAACCTTCCGGTATACAAAATGAACTATTTTAATTAAAAATTTAAATATTGTTTATTTAATATTATCAGTTTTTAAATGATTAAAAATTATTATTTTTATATATGAGTTTTTGAAAAAAACAAAGATTTAAAAAAATTTTTTATTTTAAAACTTTGAACTATGGTTTTCTTTAAGTAATTGTTAACACCTTTCTCCCCATTCTCCCAATAAAAATACAATACAAACAGAGTAATATATTAAAAGTTTAGATGCTTTCCTGACTATATATATTTTTGAATCTAAAAGTATTATCAAGCAAATTCTTTAAGCTATTAAAATATTTTATTATAATCTGCATTAAAAATAAAAATGTATTTACCAGGGGGTACTGAAAAAAATTTATAAAATTTATTCTTTCTTAAAAAAAATGGTATTTCGTTAAATTGATGTTATTTTTCTTTATATTTGATGTTTATTCAGCTACGGGTATAGCTTAACAATGTAGAGAGAGAAAAAAACGTCATACTATGGTTTCGGTGTAAGGAAAAATATAAAATGATATTGAAAGATATCATACGACGTCATGTCATGTCATCATCGTCATACGACGATGAGAAAAGTAAAAGTTTTATCATTTTTTTTAATATAATGTTTAAACGAACTTTGATGAAAAAGCTCATGAATATTCGTTGATAGTCTTTTGCAATTTTAGACATAAAATGTGCAACCATTGCGTCAATTAACCCATATTATGTTGGCAATAAGCATACCTGTTCTCAGGAGCAATTTATAAATAAAATGCGGAAGAAGAGGTACGAATCTTTAAAAAATTGCCACCTACATTCTGAAAACTAAAAAAAAAAAAAATTTCTTAAAATAACTGAAACTTTTTTTGTATGTTTTTTTATTACTTATTTTATTATTATTAAAATTTAAAAATATAATGAAAATTTACAAGATCAGTATTATGAAATAAAAGAACGTAGGGACTGTAAGGTCTTGTCAACGAGAACCGTTAAAAACATTAGGTGTTAAAATATTCTCAAAATAAATTTACAATGAAAAATAGAGATTAAAAACTCAACCTTTCAAGCTATTACACGAGTAAATAAAAATAAGTTAGAATTAATAACATAAAAACAACAACAATAACAACAACATCAACAACAACAACAACAACAACAACAGCAACAATAACAAGCTATTTATTTTCTGTAAACCATTTTTAAAATAGTATTATTAACAATAAAAATAATGATTATAACAACAATAATAGTAATAATAACAATAATATATAATAATAATATAAGATAGCAAAATTAATACAAATTATTGTAATAAAAATAATAAGTATGTTTACATTAATTAAAATAAAAAAAAATAATAATAATAGATATTATAATGGTAGTCATCATGAGCGGATCCAGCATTTTTTGGTCTTTGAGATAACTTCCAGACATGGAGCAAACTCAAAAATTGCAATAATTTGAGCCTGGGTTTTTGCCCCAAACATGAGAGTAACAAGTTGATGAAATATCGATAAACTTTAAATTTCATAGTAAAATATTTTGAGTTCAAAAATTATGACCATATAAAGTCTCAACCACCTCAATTGAGGGGGTTTCAAATTTTATAAGGTTATAAATTTTGAACGCTGAGAATTTATACTATGAATTTTAAAATTTCTTGATGTTATATAAGTCTAGTTAAAACTAGTACAAAAAATATTTCATCAACTTGTTGCTCTCACGTTTGGAGCAGGCGGGGGCGTATATTTTGGGCCTTTTTTGTTCGCAAGCTCCAATAACCGCAATTTTTTGCAAAGTATCTTTATTTAACATAAGTATAAACATATATTTATTTGGAGTTAGCTCCATGTTTGGTAGTTAGATATCTCAAAGACCAAAAAATGCTGGATCCGCCCCTGGTATTCATAAGCATAAAATTATTTATTATAATAAGTTAATAATTTATTAGGATATAGCCACTCCTACAAAAATCTGATCAAAGAAGTGACACCAACTTTTAAATATTATAATTAAAGATAATAATAAATAAAGACATACATTGAAACACATGGAACTAGAACATACATTAAAAATAAACATATAGAAATCATAATTTGCAGGTTATAACAATAAAAAAAAAATAAAAAAATAAAATAAACAAACAAAAAGTACTGATAATGATTGTAGTATTAACGAAAAAAAAAATTAAACGAATATTTTAATAGTAAGGATGTCTAAAAGTTAGAATCAGAATTTTTTTAATTGATCTTGTTTAAATTTGAGAAAAGGTATTTTAGGACATAGGTTTTAAATGGTATTTAGTTTTCCATTGTATATATTTCTAATAGAGAAAATCAATAATAAAAAAAGTTTCGTTATAAATATAAACATGCAGTATACAGTTTAACTACAAAAACAACTACAAAAAAAGTGTTAAATAACAATTAACAAATTAACTATAGTAACTCTGTTTTTAATGCAGATTCTAATATGTCATGTAAAAACTCCATGTCACATTTTCATAAATATATACAGCAAGAAAGTAGATATCTACATTAAAAAACAATTTATTTGTCTTAGAACAATCAGAAACTCTCACTTATTATATATATATATATATATATATATATATATATATATATATATATATATATATATATATATATATATATATATATATATATATATATATATATATATATATATATAAATATATACCATTTCTTATATGTCACAAACCGATAAACTTTTTCTCAAAAGTAATGGAAATTTATTTTGATGAATATTCAAAAAAGGTCACACACAACACGATATTTTTAAAATAGTTTTTGAAGGCAGTAGTGTTATGACTTTCTGAAGAGTAAAATTTTCTTGAACAATAGCAGCCGTGACGCAGTGGTAATGCACTTGCCTCAGAAACGTAAGATCCGTGGTTCAAACCCCACTTCTGGACAAGTTATGCGACATTGGTTGGGAAGGAGGCGTGAACTTCCTATTAAATGCTCTTCCGCGGTGCTCTGTGATAAAATCGTAAGGACTTCTTGGGGCACCTAAATCAACATTAAAAAAAAAATATATGAAACCTTCTAGAATTCCCTGTTTGACCATTGTTTGTATTCTGCATGTTTTTAGAAATCTCTAAAACTTTCCAGAATTTTCAGGAGATTTCTAGAAGTTTATGGAAATTAAGTAAAGTTAGATTAAATAAGCTGCCTGATTGGGCAACACTAACAACTATATATGAATCTGTATTTGTCAGATGGCAGTCGAATGATAAAGAAGTACACAAGCACTTATATTTAATATCATTGCCTTTCAGAAATATATTCAGGTATTATCTTAAACCACAATGTCCTATAATAAAAGTGCCTCCACTACTGAAATAAACAAGACAATCTGGATAAAGATCTTTGTACAATTTTATGAATCACAAAGAAAAAAAGAAAAGCTGTTCCACTAAAAGAACAATCACTTGAAGATAACAGCAGAATGCTACTAAAAATCCAAATTGTTGGTCGCTATCTGTTACTGATAGCGATTAACAGTTTGAATTTTAATAATGATGGAAGATCCATCATTTTGATGGGTTCCATCAAAGACTTAATCAGACTTGATGAAAGAATCGAATAAAGGAAAACGAGTTTGAGCAAATTGAAAAAGGAGTAATGAGTTTATGACAAAAAAATATAATTAAATTTTTTTTATCAATTCAATTCATAACAGGCAAAACTAGATAAAGTGCTGATGGTGTACAATAAATGTGTAAAACAAAGAAAAAATTGATCCATTAAATGAAGTTTTTGACATCACAAAAAAAGATTGTGAATGACTCTGCAGTGAGGACAAAAATTTTGTATCATCTTCAGATTTAAAGCAAAGGACAGGTCGGGAATACATTTGGAAAGGCTGCTTGTTCAAAACTATATATTCATTCAAAAGAAGAATTGTTTGAAATTTTATATATAAGCATGAATGATAAATTCTAATTTTTGAAATTGTTTTTTGAAAATGTTTTTTCATTACTTTTGTACAAATTTTTATTAATTTATGACCCAGGAACATATATATATATATATATATATATATATATATATATATATATATATATATATGTATATATATATATATATATATATATATATATATATATATATAAAGAGAGAGAGATAAAGATACTCACACTTATTATTATATTACTTATGTGTAGCTTGGGCAGGATCTTTAGCATCCGGACTTCTTTTTCTATCTTCAATTGTTGCTATTAAGTTATGCGAAGTGACAAGTATAACGTTTACATGCATACTTGGCTCCTTATTGAGTGGAATAGGTATTATAATGATATCTGTTGTTTCAAATTTTGAATGGCTTTATTTGGTATATGGAGTTTTTTTTGGAGTTGGATCAAGCTTTTTATATACCCCTGGTTTAGTTATTATTGCTCAGTGGTTTAAAAAATATCAGACTATAACTACAGGAATAGCTGCTGCCGCTGCACCGTTTGGTGCAGTTGTATTAAGTCCTCTGATTCAGTATATGATACTTATAAATGGACTAAAAAGTACAATAAAAGCTGGAGGTCTTGTATATTTGATTATTTCATTAATGTGTTCGTTATCATACCAGCCGTTAGTATCCTACAGTAGAAAAAAAAATGACAGTCTTTTTAAAAGTGAAAGAGAATCAATGAAGTTCAAACTGGATTTTGCGCTTTTTAAAAAAAAGACTTACTGTCTGTTTCTTGTTTGTATGATGGTAACAAATTTCTCGTATTACATACCTATTGTTTTTTTGGTAAGTTTACATTAATTTCTTACAGTTAAATATAAAAATGTTTGTGTTTTTTTTAATTGTTTATCTTTAAATTTTTTACCCCATCAACGTTAAAAACTTTTTAGCCATAAAATCATTAACAACATTATTTTGTTTGTATGATGGTAACCAATTTCAGAAAAAAAAATTTAATATAATTTTTTGATTACTTGTTTTTAGGTTAGCTATGCAGAGCAAATAGGTTCCAGCCCTCCCAACGCCAGTTTATTAATAACCGTATGGTCAGTAAGCAGCATTATAGGAAGAATAGCTTTTGGAAAATTTGTCTCGTATAAAAAAAAACAAATTTTAAATATTTATCAGTATGCTATGTTTTTCAGTGCAACGGTTAGCTTAGTGACCATGTTTGCAACGAAGTATTGGCATTTAGTTTGTTATGTTGTTCTATATGGTCTTTTAGATGGTTCCTTTATTGGTTTGATTTCATTGGTCACCATGGAAATTGTTGGAGTTAAACAACTACCTCAGGGATACGGAATTATGCTGACTTCAATAGGATTTCCTATTGCCTTAGGGCCAACCCTAACTGGTAATTTTATTTTGAAAGTATTCTTGCAAATTTTTTCGTTTCAATTTATTTGTTATTTAATCTTTCTTTTCAACTTAACTAATAACAGGTTATATTAATGACAAAAAAATCCTTCCTCCAAACTTCATGTTTGTTTTTGCTGCTGTTCCGTTTTTTATTGGTTCGATCATTATGTTCTGGATAATTAAATGGAACAAAAAAGAACATTCGCTTGAAACAGAAATGCTAAAAACTGACGAGGAAAGTATCGTTACATTTGAAAACGAAATCCAAAAAAAGTAAATATTTATGACGACAAAAAATTGAGGTCGACAATGACGAAAGTATTAAAAAAAATCGTCATTTGGTATTTAATTCATATTTAATATTAACCTTTTTGCAGTGATTTTAACAAGTTGACAAACTGAAGGCAGTTTTACTAACTTGAGAAGTTTGCTGCAGTTTTTGACAAGCTTACAGCAACTTAAATCATTTGACAAGCTCTCGGCAATTTTGATTTTTTCTTTTTGACAAATATGCGACAGTTTTATTTGTTTGGCTCGCAAGTACAAAATAAACTTATTCCTTAGAAAATACGAAATTTTAAAAAGTATATTTGCAAAACCAGTTAGTTATTTTAAACTTTACTTTTAAGCTGACGAGGCTGTTCAGTGGAGTTGTTGGTAAGAAAGATCAGTGACGAATCCAGGGAGCGATGGGGGGTATGCGTCCCCATCACCAGAATCCGCCACTGAAAAAGTTAATGTTCTCTTGCTCTGGTATTTTCAAAATTTTTTAAACTTTTTTTGTTGATGCCCTTTTGTACAAGTTCAATAACCCCTCACTAAAATTTAAATCAACGACCCCACTGACGTAAGATTTCGGAAAACGTCAATTTCTGACGTATTTATGTATGTATGTCAATATACAAATTTCAATGTATTTATGTATGTATGTATGTACGTTTCACCACACACATATAAAAATATATATTTACATAGATATAAATATAGATATTTAATTAAAAATTTGAATTTGTTTTAATCCATTTATATTAGTTGTAAAAATAAAATAAAATGAAATACAAAAAGTCAAAACTTTTAATTTATTAGCGTATATCTATAAATATAAATTTAAAATGAAAGCAACAGATTAGTTACTATATAATGCATACAATTTACTTACAAAACTAAAAACTGTTTAAATTCTAAAAAAATGTTACATCGCGCAACCTTCCTATATGAAAAAGCTTTACGTTTACTTTAAGTTTACGTTTACTTTACTTTAAGTTTACGTTTACATAATTCAACTATGAGATATATTTTTTTTGTTATAACGCAAATATTTCATTATTATATTATATTTGATACAAAAGTTAAAAAGTTGTTTTTGTTTCAAATCTTCAAATCTAAAACTACAAAATCATGTTAAAAATCAATCAAGGATTGATTTTTAATAGAATATTGACGCAACTGATTAAATAATTAATTATGTTTTCTGAGAATTATTTCTAAAGAAAATTTACTTGAAAAGAAATTCTCAGAATTTCAAACCGCCCAAAATCCGAAACATAAAAACGTCGATATTTTGCAAAAATACACAAATTGCGCACAAAGAGTTTCAACTGATTTAAAAAATCAACTGATTTTTACAATTTTATAAGTAAGATTTTTTGTTTGTTTGTTTGATTTGTGCGAGAATTAAAAATTATTTTGATATAGTTTTTTATCAGTAAAATATTTGAATTAAGTTTTACTGATTATTTATATAAAATCTCTATTAAAAGTTTCAGACTATACAATAAATATTAATGCCACTTTAGTTTTAATATATATTTATATAATAATAATAATTAATGCCACTTTAGTTTTAATATATATATATATATATATATATATATATATATATATATATATATATATATATATATATATATATTAAAACTAAAGTGGCATTAATAATTATTATTATATAAATATATATTAAAACTAAAGTGGCATTAATATTTATTGTATAGTCTGATATATATATATATATATATATATATATATATATATATATATATATATATATATATATATATATATATATATATATATATATATATAATATATATATATACTAGATATGCTACAAATACTCGGGACTATTCGGTATTCGGCCTATTCGGCAATTTTTTTTACTCTTCGATTACCAAAAACCAGATTGTAACCAAAAATACGCAAAAAACGGATAACGTATAAATTTTTATTGTGCCACTATATGTAAATAATGACTTTGGAAAAAAAAAATTAAAAAAAATAATTCTTACCTTTAGGGGGTTGCAGTTTTTTGAAAGATAAAATTGGTCATTTATGCGAAGCTGGTTAAAATTTTTAAATTGTTGAAATCTGAAACTTTTTAGAATTTGTTTTATTACCATATATATTACCATATGCTATGAAACGTAAAAAAAATTTTTTTTCAAATAAATATTTAAGTGGTGTAAAGTACGTTAAAAGATTAAAATAAAAGTGTCAATATATAGATTTGAGCAGCCGTGGCGCAGTGGTAGCGCACTTGCCTCAGAAAAAAAGGTTCCGTGGTTCAAACCCCACTTCTGGGCAAGTTTTGCGACATCGGTTAGGAACGAGGCGTGAACTTCCGATTAAATGCTCATCTGCGCTGCTCTGTGATAAGACCGTAAGGACTTCTTGGGGCACCTAAATAATATTAAATAATATAAAAATATTTAAAAAAAGTATAATAAGACATAAAAATTTAAAACAATCAGACTTTCTTTGTTTGAATGACGTCATTTAAAGTTCAGACAATATAACTATAACAATTATTTATAATTAAATGGTTTTAAGGGCAACCAAGGGCAACCAACTAAAATTCTTAACAACTCTTCCAAATTAAAAGGTAAAAACATTTTTATATATGAAGATTACTCAAGGAAACAAATATTATACGAAAGACGCTACATGAAATTAAAATCGAAATGCAAGCTGGCAAAAACGCGTATATTTCATGCGAAAAACTTATTTTTCGCGATTGGAATTCCAAAAAAAAGTAATATATTATCTTTTAAATTTTTATTATATGTTTACATAAACTTATTTGCTTTGATTAATTATGGCGTCAGTAAACGATTTTGAAACTTTCTATTTTTGATAAAAATGTTTTTTCATTGCGGGAAAACATTAACTAAGACATAACTTATTTATATACTTGACAACGAGGGTATCAATAATCCCTTGAAATATTGTATGAAAACTAATTTCAAGTAAAGAGTTACATCCATAATAGAAGTTTTAATTTGATTATATTTCAAACTCTTTAATGATGCCTAATAAAATTTAACAAAGACATTAATTATTTTCATGAAATTAACAAAGAATGTGTGTAACAAAGAATCCGTGGGAAGTAGAAGGGTTTTTATTTAACAATATTAGCAATGAAAAATTATATCAAATTAGAATTCTACAAGTTAATATTCTAATAACCAACTATCGCTACTTCATTGGAAACGTTTAACTTTATTGATAACGTTAATAATTTTTTTGAAAATTTCTTTAAAACATTTTTTTCGGTTTACGATGCCAACTTTCCTAATGTTAAAAGTTATATATAAAATACCTAACAACAAAAACTCCTACAAGCGAAAAAAAATATAAAGAATATAAAACTTTTTTGAAAAAATCTGAAAAAGTTTAAAAAAAAACTACTATTCAAATTTGATTAATGAAACAAAAAATAACGTAAAACGCACTTGGCAAATACTAAAATAAATAATTGGGAAACAAAAAACATGCTCAAGTTTTTTGCCACACATGCTTAAAATCGATAACAAAATTTTATACAATCCACAAATTATAGCTTATGAGTTTAATAAATATTTTGTTGAAATTGGTCCAACCCTATTAGATAAAAATCCAATTACCAAAACTTCTTTTTATGATTTTTTAGCACCTCTTGATAAAGGCATTTGCTCTGATGAACTATCGTCCGAATTATCCTTCGAAGAGTTTAAAAAAGCTTTTAAAATCTTAAAAAAAAATAAAGCAACTGGGCCTGATGAAATAAACGGAAGTATAGTTATAGATTCCTATGAAAAAGTTAAAAGTATTCTTTTTAAAATCTTCAAAGCATCCATCCATCAAAGAATTTTCCCTGAGCGCTTAAAAATTGCTAAAATTATTCCAATTCACAAAGAACGCGACATATCAATAATTATCGCCCCATCTCTATCCGATCTGTATTCTCCAAAATCCTAGAAAGAAATATGTTTAACAGAGTTATTAATTATTTTAATTACAATAACCTACTATACAACAATCAATTCGGTTTCAAAAAAGTTCAACTGAGCATGCCATTATTCAATTTGTACGCACCATCTCCAAATCCTTTGAAAAAGCTCAATATACATTAGGTATTTTTATAGACCTATCAAAAGCATTTGATACGGTTGACCATAATATTTTAATACAAAAAATGAAACATTACGGTTTAAACAATAATACTTTAGCGTGGTTTAAAAGTTATTTAACAAATCGTAAGCAAGTAGTCTGTAGTAATAATGACGTTCAAAGTGGATCCTTAAATACAACCCAGGGGCGGATCCAGGAAATTATTTGGGTACATCTGATTTTTTTACGAGCAACATTTCATTCTCCCCCCTCCCCCCCTCAACTATTCTGGAGTTGGAGGGGATATATTACAGGGCCGTCCCGAAGAAAAAAAGGAGGAGGGGGGGGGAGAAGGTGACGTATGATTCTCGTTTACTGACATATGCCGACTATAGTTCCAAACTTGCAGACTACAAGTCCAAATTTGCCGACTAATTTTTCAACAAAGTTTTGGTAAGGGGTTAGACACCCCCCTCTCCTAGTGACGGCCCTGTTAATATATATATATATATATATATATATATATATATATATATATATATATATATATGTATATATATATATATATAGGCCTAAAAATACGCAAGGATATCGCTTGGGCACCTTACCATAGTAAAATTATGTTTACATAATATTTACAAACTTATTATGACAAACTAGATTTATATTTACACATTTCATTATTAAATTATAAACTTACACATTTTATATTTTTATTGTAAATAATTATATAATTTGTTTATATTGTAACAAATATAAATAACAGAAATAACTATATATTATAATAATTAAAGTTGAATTATATATACAGAAATTGCCACAATCTTAGTATTTTATTTTGCATAGCAAAAGTAGATTTTAAAATCTTAATTCTATTGATGCTTGCAAAATATATAAAATCTGAAAAAATCAGTTCAAAAGATAAAACATTTACAATATAATCATTTCAACATAGCATAAAAAAAACGATATACCTGAAACCAACATGTATGCAACTCAATGTATGTTAATAATTCCTTTATGCCAAATAATGTTTTATAAAAGTGTGTGGCTATGAAAATAGCCGTTTTTTTTACCATTGGCAAAAGAAGCTGACTTTTTTTGCACTGTTTTTTTTTAGTATTTTGCATTTTTTAATTAAAAAAATTTTTTTTTAAATATATTTTATATTTATTTGAAAGTTAATCTACGATTATTAGTGGCAAACTTATCAATGACTTTATTGATATTTATAACTATTTCTGAATGAATATTCATTAATGCTAAACCATTTAGACGGTCCTGAACCATGGTGCTTCGCATATAATTTTTTAGGCGCCGAAGTGAAGAAAATGTCCGCTCACACTCACAAGTTAATGGAAAGTTAGCAAGTAACTTAAGACAAACTTTTATGTTTTCAAAACATAAAAATTTATCGCTTTTAACGTCTTGGAAATATTAGAAGGGACATCTCCTTCAAAATTTAACCAGAAGGCTTCCCATAAATCAAGCTCACCAGACAAAGCAAGCGGATTCGGTAAGTCTGTTGCGTAAAAGTCACTGAAAGATATGATGGAGTCTTTCCAACTGGTGTCATGAGAACATTGCACTACTGAAATCATTTTTGTAGGAACTAGCACAAGTGCTTTATAACATTTTAAGGTAGTATCATCAAACCTTGTGTCTAGTTCAACACTTAGATGGTCTAATAAAGGAATCGTGATAACTAACTTAAAATAATCAGAAATAGATTCAGAAGGAGTATTATCTCTGTTTTTGGAAATAAATGAAGTTCTTGGCTTTGCTTCAGCTACATTAATACTTTGTGCAATTTTTAAAGCCTGTTCATAGCACATTTTATGGTGTTGATCAACGATCTTTCTAAGTGAAATCACAACATCTTTTAACGCCCGAATAAGATTCAAACCATCATAAATATCATTACTCTTTGACTGCAACATTCGCGTTATGGGAAGAGTTAAGTCAAACACATTTCTTGTTATGCACATAGCAACAATAAAATCAAAACCTGTAATTAGTTTCAGAAGGGATGATGCACTAGAAGCTGTTGAATGATTAAAACTCTTATTGGCATTTAAAGACATTTCTTCAAGACAAGAGACCAAAGGAATAAAAAGTTCTTGAAAAGAACTAAATCTAAACCATTTACTTTTTCCACCCAACGTGTGAAATCTAAACCATTTACTTTTTCCACCCAACGTGTTCTGCAAACATCTTTTAATTTTTTTTTAACAGCTATTGGAACAGTACATTCAATGTGTTCCTCTAACTTTTGTTGTCTGGTAGGTGAAAGATAGAAAAAATATGATACCTCTTTAACATATGCCAGAAGATTCTTGACATATTGCACATTGCACGAGCCACAAATAACTAAATTAAGCCTATGGCTATAGCAATGAACAAATGTAGCTTTTTCATTTAGAATTAAAATACGAGAGGACAATCCTTTGGTGTGACCAACCATTGCTCCAGCACCATCATATGACTGTCCTCTGCAATTCATGATACTAAAGAAAAATCTGAAATACTTTTTAACAAAATATCAAATAATCCTTGACCAGTAACACCATTTGTGCAATGTAAAAAACTGATAAATTCTTCTCTTATATTAAACTTTGAATCAACAAACCGTATAACTAATGATAGCTGTTCTTTGTTTGAACTGTCAGAAGCTTCATCAGCAATAATAGAAAAATATTTAGAATTTTTAATTTCTCCTAATATTGTGTCAGTAATAACTTCTCCACAACACCTTATTAACTGATTTTGTGATGTCTTAGATATGTAAGAAGCATTTTGTTGATGATCTTCAAGAACTTTATCACCAGCTTTAACACGAAAATGTAATAATTCAATAAAATTTCCAACAGTATGATTAAAAGACTCACTATTTTCAGGATGAAACTCTGAATCGTCTCTATGGCCTCGTAAAGAAAGACCAAGACGTCCACAGAGAATAATTGTTTCAATAATTGGTTGTAATAACTGTCAATTTTTAGAAACCTGTGATTGAACTATTTTTTGAGATGTAATATCTATTGATTCTGTTTTAGAAGACCAAATCGACGACAATGAAAATAAAACTTCAGCAATTTTTACATGTAAGCCTTTATTTCTGCAGACAGACTTATTATTGTTTTTGCCAAATGCATGTTTCTGAAAGTAACGAGAAGCATCATTCCAGCGATCAAAAGGCTTACGAAATAATCTTTCAACTAAACTACATTCAGATGGAAAATTACACCTAAAAAGTACACATGGCAAACAAAAGGCTCCATCGAATATTTTCGAATATGTGAGCCATGGAAATTTTTCTATCCACATAAATTGAAAACTTCGCCCATTAAGATTTTTAGGAAAAGAAAATGTTTTACAAGGTACAAAAACATCTTTAACTAAATGTTGAAGTTCAGAATTACTCAAGGTTTTTGCAATACTTGAATAACTAGTATAGTTAGAAACCAAATAACCAATATCATAATTATTGGAAGGTAAAGAAAATGATTCGCAACATGTAATTTTACTAAAATTTGATAATGATAATGGGGGTTGACTAGAGACTTCCATTGGTTTACTTTTTAAATTGTCCAACGAATAGTTATTATCTTGATGTTTGGTCTCGAAATAAAATTTTATTTTAGTCTGCGACATTTTGCAGCTTTTGTTTAAATTTTTTCGTTTTAAGTTTTCTTTTATTATCACAGGGGTATAATGGTTGTGTTGAAAAGGAGCTGAAAAATCATTTAATACACCTTCATAACAAAAAAGGAGATGTAAAGACTCAATAGTGTTTAAGGAAGTTATACAAGGTAAAATAGTTGAGCTGAATAAAATTTTATACTTCTGTAGACCAAAATCTGGATACAAACATTCTATTTTCTTGTTGCAAACACTTGATAATGCAAGAATACAAAGGAAAGAAGACCAGTTTTCATTGTTACAATTGTTAATAGCTTCTTCTTGAACTAAATCTTTACTTTTTTTTCCAGAATCCAAAGAATTTAGTGATACTGATAAAGGAAGAATGTTATCATAGCAAAGAAAAGAGCTAGTATTGTTAATAAAAACATAATGAAAAGTTGGATGGTTAGAATAAAACTCGGCATTTAAGAATAGCTCAATTGAGGTCTGTAATCTTAAATCGTTAACTATACAGTTATTTCCAGTAAGACGTAAGGAGATAGAACTGTACAGACAGTTTCCAGTTGATTGAGACCTGAGATATACATAAAATATAATAATTAATGAACTTATATAAAAAATTTATAAGTATTTTCAACTAGCTTACAGTCAATATAACATTACAACTAACCAAAAAGTTATTAAAAAAATCATGGAATTTGAACAAATACCTTTACCTTAAAACAACATAACTGCCATTATGTTTTTCTTTAAAACTCTTTGGCAGATAGATTTCAAAATTTTTAAGAGTTTTTTCTTCTTCGAAAGAGTCGACAAGAATCGTATTATTACAAGAACTAATATTTTTTTGTAATATATCTTTCAAAGCGATCAATTTTGTTTCATCATTTTGTAGCATAATGTTTTTAACTTCTTGATTGAGTGACATTTTAAATTAATACTCGAACACACAAATAAATGCTTGAATTTTTAACATTAAACAACATTTTAAATATTAGGAATAAGACATGTATTTCAGGGTGTATTAACGAAGGGACGTTCGGCAGTGTTTTTTTATAAAAGAAACCGAGTATTTAAAAATTAAATATTGAAAACTAAATTAAATATAAAGATAAATAATAAAATAAAATAATATTGGGGACGTCTATTGGTGTATCTTATTATTTATAGAATATTATCATTAGTTTTACCTCCTGATCGTCTTAAAACAAAAGATTTTGACAATATTTTAATAAGGGTGTACCAATTTGGGGACGTCCAAAAATAATTATCAGTAAAGATATTATTTATTTATTGTTTTAACAAATTAAATACAAATTTAAAATAATTTTTTATTTTATAATAAAATAAAATTGGGGACGTCCATTCGTTTATTTAATTAAATATTATTTATCAAGAATTACTTAAACCTCCGGCAAAGACAGATATCTTTTTAACAAGAACTTTAAACAAGAACCGTTCGTATTTCTTGTTTCACAAGTGCCTATAAAATTAAATCTTATTTTAACCAAAAAAGTTATTTTTATAATTGAAACGTAAATTAATTTTTTTTTTATTTATTTAATATTTTTTTGGGTACATCTTAAGACGTACTAGACGTACCCTAGATCCGCCCCTGCAACCTGTGTTCCACAAGGTTCTATTCTTGGACCGCTGCTATTTCTTATCTATGTTAATGATCTAAACAAAGCCTCTAACATGATGAGTATTATTTATGCCGATGACACTAACTTATTTCAATCCCACACTGATGTTTACAAACTTTTCTCAAAAACTAATAATGAACTTATAAACATTTCTAAATGGTTTAAATGTAATAAATTAACGTTAAATACTAACAAGACTAAATGGATTCTTTTTCATTCCTTCTCAAAAAAACGTTCTATACCAGATATTACGCCTCAAATTTATTTTGATGAAACTCTAATAAAAAGAGATTCTGTTATAAGATTCTTAGGTGTTTATCTTGATGAGAATATTACTTGGAAAAACCATATTAATCATATAACCACCAAGGTATCTAAAAGTATTGGCATTTTGTATAAAGTCCGACCTTACTTAAGCAAAAATAGCCTTACGCAGCTCTATTACTCATTCATACACAGCTATATAAACTACGCAAATATTGCATGGGGTAGTACCGAAAAAGTAAAAACATAAAACATTAAAAACGTTTTAAAACGTTTTTAATGTTTTATGTTTTACTTACATGTGGAAAAACAATTTATCCCTACCTGTTTTTAACGACCTTTTTACATTAAAACTTACTAATAAGTACTCACTAAGAAATAAAGATTTGCTTAATGAACCATTTTGTAGAACAAATTTTAATAAACTTTGTATTAATTATCGAGCACCTTACCTTTGGAATAAAATAGTTCTGCCTAATTTTGATCCTTTTATCCGTTTTTCTGTTTTTAAAAATGAATTTAAAAATTCTATTCTTGCTATGGATGACATTTTAAGTTACTATTAACTTGAAGTATAAACTTAATTTATGAGATTTATAGTAATATTTATATTAATAGATTTATTTTCTTTATTTTATAGCAGATCTATAAAATTAATTATTATGGATTTTTATAAGAATTGTTATTACAGATACGTGATTATTATTATGAATTTATAATTATATATTTATTATTACGGCCGTTGTTTGGATTTATATTTTCAGTTTTTATAGAATGATAAAATTGTAAAGGTTCTGATGATAAGATCAGTTCATCTTCTTTCAGAAGCCTTATTTTCTTTGTTCTTGTAAAATATAGTATTTATTTTACGGCAAATGTAAACAGAAAAAAAAAAAAAAAAAAAAATAAGAATCTGGAATAGTTAATCAGGACAAACATGGACATGGGTTTATTTTTCCCACTCGAAATATCTAGTTTGAACTTTTTTATTAGGCTCAGATGTAGAAACAATGTTAAGATTCACAATTAAGACAATTAAAGATTACGAAAATTTCGCACTAAAGGCGATCCGTATGTTGTGGCAAACCATCTGCTATAGGAAACATTTTTACACTTTGCTTTAGAAAGATTTATGTCAATTTGGTTGTAGATAAACGTTATACCAACTTATTATGAAACATTGCATCTGCCAACATTGTTTTGGAGTTTCAAGATGTTAAATCAAAGGCTCCAGCTGTTATATAATTTCAAATGTTTCAATTCTTTTATGCCATTAAATTTAGAGAGAGCATTTGAATTAGGGTCACTAAAATAATCCTTTGAATTAGTTAAAGCATGTAGTTTAATAGTTATATGCCTCAATGGTAATTGATTACAATACAGCATTCAAATAGACCAGAATAATTACCTCCAGGTTAATTATTCCAGATTTATATATATATATATATATATATATATATATATATATATATATATATATATATATAATATATATATATATATATATATATATATATATATATATATATATAAAATCTGTGTGTGTGTGTATATGTGTGTGTGTGTGTGTTTATGTGTACTCATATAAAATTACATCCGACTGGTGTAATACAAGTTGTGTTTAAATCAACAGTCTCATAACCAGAAGCTCTAGCAAAAGGCAACTTTCTTTAACTTAACAAATATCAACCCTCTGCCTCCATTACTACCACCACGTTTACCATACCCGTTGCTGGTTGCCTATTAACAATATATAACATACAAGCCAAGCTTAAGTCAACTAAACCCCTAGCCATACAACAAAATGAACAAAAATCGCCTAAAAAAATTAACCAATGAGCAACTAATTCTCGTTCGTTAAACAGAGCCGAACAAGACAAATTTATGGAAGAATATTGATAATGATGAAATAAAGACAAAATAACATCTCCTTTTTTTTCACTCAGACTTTGTTTGATGATATTTCACACTTGACTACCTGGTTACTTCTACAGAAAAAACTGTGGAAGCAGAGGTAGCGGTGCAGCAATCTACATAAAAGACGATATTCCATCAAATGATATAAAAAGTTAATCAACATGAAAAAATTTCAAAAATATTGAGAGAGTAACAACAATAATCGATGAATCTACTTTGATCATACCGACCGCATGATAACGACAAAAAGTCATTAATGCAATTGTTTTAGCAAGACAGAACTTTTAAAAATTGCTTACTGATAAACTCATTGCTACAAACACTACTCTTGTTAAATAAGAGCATAAAAGGTTTGTCTGGAGCAGGGCGAACTATCACGCAGTATCAACACAAGTTACATTGTACAACTGGTTGACAAACTCCTACTGTTTTTTAACAAATGACAATTTTGAATTTCATAAAACCACAAAATTGATTTCTACAAAGAAGTGGCTTTACAACTAACCTACCAGAGGCCCACAACATTTTAACAAATTCACTGTTTTTAAATTACGCTTATGCCATAAGCGTAATTTACTCTGATTTCAACTAAAAGCAAAGCTTTTGATAAAGTAATACGATAACATCTTTTTCTAAAGTTTAAGGCATTTTTATGCAAATCAGCTTGCTCAAATTAATAAATACCTGACATTGAAGGCAATCAAGAAGAACTTGAAACCGCAACTTTGGAGTGTGATTTAGGGGTCCTAACATCTATCGATTTTAGGATCAAGCACTAAGTAGAAGTTGCAGCAGCTAGAGCAAACCAAGTTTCTGGTTGAAGTTCAATTCTCCTTCTAAAAAGGTTTTTCTAGTTCAAAAACTATTTTGTACTAGATGGCTGACATTATGGACGGTAATCTACACGACATACATTAGACCTCATTTATCAAAACACTTAAAAGCATTTGATAGCAAGCAACAAAGGTGATACTTGATATCAAACACAAAAAATATGAGAGTAGACTAGCCAATCTCGGTCTCACCACTCTAGACGAGCTAAGAAAATAGACCCACCTGATACAACGATATAAGTTCGTAAATAAAGCAGAATAAGTTGAATTCGTAGTTCCACAATTTCCACAATCACTCTCAAAATACAGTCTACGTCATAAACAACGGTTAACTCGGCAGGTTAAAACAACTTCCCAAGAAATGAGATAATTTTTTTACAAATCTTGTTGTTTGGAAATGGAAAACGCTACCTGCAAACGTTTTTAATGCAAACTAAACTATTTTTAAAAATTCAATTAGTGGTACATTCAACTCAAACAAGGACGCACTATGTGTTTCATTATATTGTCCTTATATGTCCTTATATTGGTGCTAGGTGCTGCATCATATATGTATATATATATATTGTATATATATTGTATGTATATATATATATACATATATATATATATATATTATATATATATATATATATATATATATATATATATATATATATATATATATATATATATATATATATATATATATATATATATATATATATATATATATATATATATATATATATACATATGTATATCGCGGATGCTTCAAGATTCTTGTTGGTTTTTTTTGAAATATTTTACTAAGTGAGTGTCACTAAAACTCAATTAACAATTAATATATTTGATACAATTTTGCTCTGTAACAGAATTCAAAACAATTATAAAATTTGAAAGCTTTTTTTTTTTAAGAATATTATTATTGACGGGGTAAACTGAATTTCAATAGTCTACTAAATACTAAATATACAATAGACTGTTTATTTATAATTTTATTTATTTAAATAATTGTTCTATTTATTTTAAAAATATCTACTTTTTGTCTAAAACAATCTGAAAACCTATATTTTTGATACTTATTATATATATATATATATATATATATATATATATATATATATATATATATATAATATATATATATATATATATATGTATATATATATATATATATATATATATATATATATATATTGTATATATATTGTATGTATATATATATATATATATATATATATATATATATATATATATATATATATATATATATATTGTATATATATTGTATGTATATATATATATATATATATATATATATATATGTATATATATATATATATATATATATATATATATATATATATATATATATATATATATATATATATATATATATATATGGCAATTTAAATTTGATTTTAAATTTCACAAAATTTGTAATTTTCAATAAACAATAAATAATTTAAAATCAACTTTTAATTTAGAATTATTGGAAAATGGGAGCAACATATTCGTTTATGGAATCTGAAAAATCAACTTGGCTCAATCATTCAATCAAATATGACAACAGTGTAAGACAAGCAAATTTAAATAATTTGGATTATATAAAAAATGATGTTGAAATATTCATGGCATACACATCTAGCCGTTGGGGTAATGTAGATTATCAGCATTGGTTTGTAACCAATGGAACTTATTTTATTGAGTTTGGATCTTCCTCTCTAGACATATATAATGCTAGAGTTACAATAAATACTAGTGTGCGTAACTATACAAAAAATAACTCAACTCTAATGAATGAGCAAATTCGTGAAAGAATAGGTCACGTGTTAGGCATGTGTAACTATTCATTGGCTCTTAGAAATTGTGAGCATGTAGCAAATTACATATTAAGAAACAGATGGATTAGCGTTCAAATGGACGAAAATCAGGGCTTGTTATTTGATATTTTCAAAGATTACCTCTTGAGTGAGCATAAAAAGTTAGTTAACACATTTCCTTCAAGTATAAGACCGCATGTATTTAATGAATACGAAAAAAGAATAATTTACTCATTTTTAACTGATCACTTTAAAGCTACAAGATTTGATTATTATCTTGACAGTGCTGAAGATACTTACAATATACTTGTGGTAGGACCTACAGGAGCGGGGAAGTCGCATCTGATAAACGTTTTCTTTAATCAACCTATATGCGATTCAGATGTTAACTTAAGAAGTGTAACACGAGAAATATATTTTGTAAGAGGGCGTGGTGAGGTTTATGATAGACAATCTAAACAATTTGTAACAAAAGATGTTGTAGTTGCAGATACTGTTGGCCTTTGCGATACTGAGTGGAATGATTTGCAAATCATAAACATGATCAAAGGCAGAATTAGTGCAAACTGCAGATATATTGATGCCGTTTTTATAGTTTTTCGTGCCGATCGTCTAATAAAGCAGTATGTTGATAATATTAAAAAGATTCTTGGATGGCTAGACTATTACAAGAAAAAAAACATAAGATTTTTGTTTGTTGGGACTCATGCTGACTTTCTTTCACAAGAAAAAAAGGCAGAACTAAGCAAGCAATTTAAGGAAATTTTTTCTATAGAATCAGACACAGCAAGACATTTTAATGGGGATGAAAGTATTAAATTTGATTCATTGATATTTACAGGTTTTCCACCTGAGGATGAATTACATCCAAAAACAAAAGAAAGAGTTATCGAAAGCCTTGACAGACTTACACTAATCCGTAAATTGCCTGGAGCTGGTGAAAGAATAAAAATACCACAGAGTTTATGCACAATTTTATGATCTGCAATCACTGTTTTAATAAATTTTAACTGAAAACAAAAATGGACAATAAAGAATAAACAGCTAGTGATTAGTCGCTTTTATAAACATTTTCAAGATTCGAATAATGTATGGAATAAGAATTTTTGATCCGGTCGACAAAGTGTCTCAACGAGTAAAAAATAACAACCCAGTAAGCAAAGGACATTTTTAAAACGTTTAAAAAACTTATTTAAACGGATTTTAACATTTTTTAAACGTTTGCTTACTTGGAAAACTTTTTTAGAAAGAGATAATATAAATGATTTTCAAAATTTTAAGATTCATAAAGTTTCTAATTAACAATAAATTAATTAAATAAAGTAAATTAAACTAACTATTTTATTGTAGTCATAAAACCATTTAATATAAAAAAAAAAATTAAACAGATTAGTGAATTAAAAAGTTATTGTAGCATTTAGAACAATAGTAAATAAAAATGATTAAGAAAAAGTAGCTTATGGAGGGCATTCTGTTACTTCTCTTTTTTGTAATGTTGAGAATTTTTATATCCCTTTTCTTATGCTGAAAGCTTTCATCTCATTTTTGTAATGTTTATAAACAAAATTTTTTAAATTTAAAGATTAAAAAATCACACGTTGTTTATTATTTGCTTAGACATAGAACACACATTATTTATTATTTATCAAGTTATATAGATTGGTAGAAGACAAAATAGCAATTTTTTAATTGGTAGAAGACAAAATAGCAATTTTTTGATTGGTAGAAGACAAAATAGCAATTTGTGTAATGAAAATTGTATTGCTCTTTCTCGTATTTTTCATGTTAAGAAAAATTAATTTTCGGTTTTTATATATTTTATTATTTTTATGTTCATGGTTATATAATTTTAATATATTAACATTATTTTTATTTTTTATATAATTTTAAAAATTGTATGTTTTTAAATATTTCAACTTTTTTTTTTGTAGTATTTTAAGATTAATTATAAAATATAAACAACATAAAGAAGTAAATTATATCAATACAAACTATAAAATATTTAATTATTATACTGAAAGTTCTCTCAACATTACAAAACGGAAGAAAAACCCCATTGCTCTAACGTCGCGATGTGTTGTTTGTAATAATAAGACAGTATTAAATATTAAACTTGTTAAATTTTATTAAAATTTGCTTCAGTAAAGCAACTTGAAAACCATAACCATTACATACATACATATATATATATATATATATATATATATATATATATATATATATATATATATATATATATATATATTTATATATATATATATATATATATATATATATATATATTCATATATATTCATATATATATATATATATATATATATATATATATATATATATATATATATATATATATATATATATATATATATATATATATATATATATATATATATATATATACTCTGATTATTGTCATAATTTATTTTGATTATTATTACAATTTAAAAAAATACTTTCAGGTATTTTATTGCGATACCAACAAAATATAAATTTTTGACTAGCGCTTTTATTTATATTTGCACCTGCATTAAATATATGCATGGATAAAAATTCACTCATGTCTGGAGCACTACTTTAGTACTGCAGACATAAGTTGGGACTTTTAAAAATGGCTGGAGCTACTTACTGATATTGACATGCACCTTTTATGGAAAAAGGGCTGCGTAGTGGAATTTCGATGACAAATAAGCGTTTTGCAAAAACTAACAATCCAGGATGCCCAGACTAGGACAAAAGAAAAACTTGCTTTGGATTTATCTTTCAGCCGGGTTTTTCTGAAATTAATGAAAATTTCAAAACGTGTTACTTAATGATAATTGGTGCAAACGTAAAATCCAAAATTCATATCGTCTTCTACCATATCAAAAATTTTATCGGTCGCAAAGAACCTCTCTTTGGACTCTATTGTGAAAAAACTATTGAGACTGATCATCAAGACTTTTCTAAACATTGATCAAGGTATAAACAAAACAATAGTCATCTAGAGTACAAAGAAAGATTGTTATGCTGCATAACTGATCTGAAGAGTGAGTAGTAGGGTGATCCTGCCGTCCTTATGTTCTCTGATAAAGTCTGACTTTTTTTTGTGGGTGAAGTTCATAATAAATAGTAAAAATCCAAAATTTTAAGAAAAATGGACAACGTTTAGTGATAGCAGATTTCAATTAAAATTTTAAGATTTCCACATTTTTTTAAAAATTGTCAATAATTAGGAGGAAAAACTTATAACTATCAGCATTACTGGAATGTTGATTGAAGTATTATATTAATAAATCGGAGCATTATATTAATAAATGTACCTTATAATATTATTACAGAAAATTTTATAAGATAATTATTTTAATAAAAAATGCAATTAAACAGTTTTATACAAAATTGTCTTTTATTATTCATTTGTATTATTGTTTGTTACCTTTTTACAGATACATTAATAACTTATTTCAAACTTTTTTAGATAAAAATTAAAATATTGACAAATTAGGTGGGTAAAAATGGCTAAATCAAAAGAACCAAGATATTTTATACTTAAAACCATCCCTATTGAATCTTATAAGAATATAAAGGGATCTAGATTACCAACTGCTCGTCAGGAACCTTTATGTTTTCTTGCACACTTTACCACAAAATCTAATAGCGATGCTGCAAATGAAACAGTAAAATCAATTCTACCATTTTATAATCAGGCCAGAATACAAACCATTAAATCAAATAAAATGGCAGAAGAAGTTATTAAATTGTTTGTTGAGTTAAAAAATCTGTTAAAAATTGACCATGTCTATTGAATAACTGACAAGAATACCCAAAAAATTATTGGACTTAAAGACAAGCTAACAAAAACAATGAGGTTCTGGCCAAGAGGTTTGCTAGATAAGTTGGTTGATGCAGAGGATAAACAGTTTCTTATCAGCATGATTACTAATAGGAAAGCATCCATGGGCTCACTTGATCTTAAACGTAGCCTTGTAAAAAAAAATTCATGACAGAAAATTTGCTGAAAAAGAAACAATCCATAAAGAAAAAGAGCGAATTAGAGTATAAAGTTATTGATTTATCTATTGCTAATGCTGTTCTCAAAGCTTTCAGCAATCATATGTGGTATCTCACTGAGGAGTAAGCTCCACTATCTCTATTTAATGATAATTTAGAGGAAAAGCAAATCACTAACAAATTATGTGACATTGAATGAAATAACTTTAAAAAGAAAAGGCTCAGGGTTTGGTAAACCTATATTTTCAATAGTTCCTTAAATGACTGCAAATGATTTGACTGATTTTATTGGTAAAGACTCCCCAGTTTATTTCACCATACTAAATATAAGTAGTAGTTTTCTTAGGTTTTTTCTAGCTTCAAAAAATGTGGTTTCTAGTTTATGTGTTTTAAACGATTCTGCTGAACGTGGAGTAAAACTTTGTAGTGACTTTGCGGGAACTACTAAGGAAGAAAATAAGTACCAGAACATTATACAAGTTGTAGAAAACAACACAAATATGTTGCCCAACCAAAGGAAAAGGCACTTAGAACCAATCAGATGGTACATTAAATTCTGATCGAATTGTTTATTTTTTCAAACTTTTAATTTAGTAGAGTTACTTTTTTATGTTGTTACACTTGTAAATATTAGTTTAACATTTAGTTTTGAGTTAACATTTCAACAATACTTTATATTTTAAATTTAAAATCTTTGACTTATTAAGCATTTAAATACATACATACATGCAAAATACATTTAGAATGGGTTAAAACTTATATCATATTTGTCCACCATTTCACTATTAGACACCATTTCACCAAAAACGAAGACTTTTAACCAGGGGTGTGGAGTTGTAAAAAAAAATTAACGACTCCGACTCCAGTTGTTGAAATTTTTTGAGTACAACTCCGACTCCGACTCCGACTCCGACTCCAACTTCAATTCCGACTCCGACTCCAACTCCAAAGCAAAATTTTTGATAAATTCTTTGAATTTTTTAAAAAATATTGCGCGATAAGTTGAAATTTTTTTTTTGACAAATTTATGCAACATTTTTTGAGGTATAGTATGAACATAAGGTTAATTGAATGTTTTGTACACACACGTGCAATACCAAGAAATATTACTATCGGAGTCGGAGTCGCGATATTTTTTAGCGACTCCGACTCCGCTAAAATTGTCGCAACTCCGCAACTCCTACTCGACAGCCCTGCTTTTAACTGAAATATATATATATATATATATATATATATATATATATATATATATATATATATATATATATATATATATATATATATATATATATATATATATATATATATATATATATATATATATGTTTTATTGGTATAAAATAAACCCCACCCCTCACCTACTTTTACCACCCCAACTTAAATAGCACACCTAATTCTTAAACTTATTTAGCCTACTCAATTTATACTAAATAGCTTCTTTAAATTAGATTAGTAAAAAAAAAAAAATTATTAGATTGTCCCAGATATTTGTACGCTAAAAACTGAAAGTTTAAAATTTTTGAGCCTAAATAGAATACTTTGACTGAAATCTGCTACCACTAAACATTGTCCAATTACATTCAAATTTTTCCAATTTCTTAGTTAGAAGTAACCTCATTCCAAAAAAAAGACAGGCTCGTTTACTGAAAAATTTTAAAATTATGGGGCGACAGGATCACCCTTGTGAGTAGTTTAATGAATTGCTACCATAATTCGATTTAAATAAACAAAATAGACATTGATAATTTTAAATAGACAATAGAAAATAGACAGCAGAAAGTCATTTTTACAGTTTATGATGAACATTTTAATCATTATAATCCTTAACTGCTGGTAGTACTTATGAACTTTAATACTGCATGTAAAACTTTAATACTGCATGTAAAACTTTAGTACTGCATGTAAAACATTGTTGAGTATTTGACTAAAAAAGTATATAAGGCTTTTTTTAATAAATTTATTTTGTAGAAAATTGAAGTTTATGTCTTACAATTTAACCAGATACTATTTTATGGTAATATAATGTAAATAATAAGTTTTATATAGTTATTTTTTCACTTTATTTTGAAAAATAAGGTTTTTAAAAAGGTTTCAAGGGCCAATAAATTTTAACAGAAACGTTTTTTGTTTTTTGTTTTACCAACTAATAGTCCGTTTGCCAGGATTTGCACTTTTTTTTCATTTCGGCAGTAGTTTATACTCGAGGAAATGTTGAGATATTTATGCTATGCATAAGCCAATTCAAACCACACCTCAAATAGCAAATCAATATTTTTGTCTATAGAATCAAAATGGTAAATGTAGCAATCAGGGCCGGTGCCAGATTATTTGGCGCCCTTGGCGAATCTGACACACTACCCCTTCCCAACTTACTTTCACAACGGAATGCTAAAGTTATATTATTACATTTTGTATTTACAATGGGAAGAATACATACATGCATAACCATAAAGAAGCGTATATTTGTGTAACTTTATAATACATTAATAAATAATTTCAAAACTCGCGCTTTTGTTTTTGCAAATGTAGAAACGAGTTCCGTCAGGTCAATGTTTCTAGCAATATCATGTTCACTTGACAGAGTAGCATATCCAGCAAGTCTTTTTT